GTTGTGGTGTTGTTGTGGGTTTTTGTGGTGGGGGGGGTTTTTGTGGGTTTTTTGGGGGGTTTTGGTTTTTTTTGGGTTTCTTGGGGGGGGTTTGGTTTTTTTTTTTGTTTGGGGTTTTTACCAATTTTGGTTGGGGCGACCAGTTGGCCCCCCCTTTCCCCCCGGGTTGTTCCCTTTTCCCCCCCTTTGTTTTCCCCCCTTTTAAACTTTATTTTCCTCCCTCCATTTTCTTTTTTATTTACCCTTTTTTGCTAAAAATCTTCCACTTCTCTCACCCTTTTTCTTCAACTTCCATTTCCTCTTTTTCTTTCCCCTCCCCCAACATCCTCCTTTCCCCTTTCTATTCCCCCAGTTTTTTATATGTCGTTATAGTCTCCCTGCCCCTCCTGTCCCAGGTCGTCAGGCCGATTTCCCTTAATCTTTCTTCATTGGACATTCCCCTTAGCTCTGGAACTAACCTTGTTGCAAACCTTTGTACTTTCTCTAGTTTCTTGACGTGCTTTATAAAGTGCGGGTTCCAAACAGGTGCTGCATACTCCAGTATGGGCCTGACATACAGGGTGTACAGTGTCTTGAATGATTCCTTACTAAGGTGTCGGAATGCTGTTCTCAGGTTTGCCAGGCGCCCATATGCTGCAGCAGTTATCTGATTGATGTTGCTTCCGGAGACATGCTCGGTGTTATACTCACCCCAAGATCTTTCTCCTTGAGTGAGGTTTGCAGTCTTTGGCCACCTAGCCTATTTCTCTGTCTGTGGTCTTCTGTGCCCTTCCCCTATCTTCATGACTTTGCATTTGGCAGGATTAAATTCGAGAAGCCAGTTGCTGGACCCGGTGTCCGTCGTCCAGGTCTCTTTTTAAGTCCTGCCGGTCCTCATCAATTTAATTTCCCCCTTTAAATTCACATCATCTGCAAACAAGGCACTTCTGAGTCTAACCCTTTCCCCTTTATGTCGTTCACATATACCAAAAAAAACACTGGTCCTAGGACCCACCCGTGGGACCCCCCCTCGTCCAGGGGCCCACTGTGTGTGGGTGCGTGGGTTGTGTGTGGGGGGCTGTGTGTGTGTGTGTGTGTGTGGTTATTTTTCTCTTCATTTTTTTCATTTTCCTTTCCTATTTTTTCTTGTTTTTTATTTACTTTTGTTTTTTCGTGCATCCACCTCATCATCATCTCATCATCATCATCATCATCATCATATCATCATCATCTCTCATCACATCCATCATCATCATCCAAACATCATCATCACATCTTCATACATCATCATCATCATCATCATCATCATCATCATCATCATCAAAGTTGTCTGCTCTTCTTTTTCTGACAAATTTTCCTGGTATGATTTTCCTTCGCGTCACACATGTATTATTGCCCGGTGGATGACTAACAGCAAAACCGCACTAAACAGGGGGAGCAGGGAAAAGAAGCACAGAGAAACAGAGGTAAACAGAGACAAAAAGAAGCAGCAGAAAACAGAAACAGCAGGACAAAAGAGGTAGCAGAGACAACAGAAGCAGCAGAGACAACAGAAGCAGCAGAGACAACAGAAGCAGCAGAGACAACAGAAGCAGCAGAGACAACAGAAGCAGCAGAGACAACAGAGACAACGAGCAACAGAGGCAACAAACAGATTTATGCTACACTCTGAAAACAACATGTAAACAAACGCGCTCTGAGGCGGGTTGGTTGACAATTTGTGACGCTATATGAGACATACCAAGTCAGTTTTTCGATGACATATTCAGAGCACAGATGACAACATGTATTCGCGGTTTCAGAACAACATTTTGAACACAAGCGAGACAACAGCACAAGAGTCCAAGCAAGAGACACTGAGGGGACGACGGCAGCTAGAGACAACGAGCATGTAGAGACACGAAGCTACTGGACATCGTGGAGTGGACAAGTGTTTTTTGTGGAATGACCAAGCAGAGACATACAGATTCCGATGAACAAACATGTAGCACAGACAACAGAACACAGAACAACAGCACAGAGACACAGAACATGCAGAGACAACAGAGTACAACAGAGGCAACAACAGACACTTTAGCATACATACTGAGAACACAGACATTGTAACACGCCCCTCTTGTCAGGGATCGGTTGTCCATGGACGTATATTCGTGTAGTACATACGTCATCATGTGTTAGATGAACAACTAGTCACAGGGAGTACTAGTATCAACTTTATACGATACGCTTCACTGGTATAACATGTATATGGTTAGTACACTCACGCACACACGTGTAGTAATCACTAGTACTCACAGGGAATGTAGCCACGCACGATGCGTGTAGACACAGTCATCCTGGTGTTAGTACACTCAGTCACTCATGTGTAGTAACTCCGTCATCATGGTGTAGTACTCACGGTCCTTGTGGTGATAGTAACACTCACGTCATCTCATTGTGTTGGTAACACTCACGTAACTCACTGGTGTTAGTAACCACTCACGTCACTCCACGTGTACGTAACACATCAGTCACTCACTGGGTGTAGTAACACCACGTCACCAGGCTGTAGTAACACTCACGTCACTCACATGTGTAGTAACATCACGTCACTCACTGTGTAGTAACACTCACGTCACTCACTGGTGTAGTAACACTCACGTCACTCACTGGTGTAGTAACACTCACGTCACTCACTGGTGTAGTAACACTCACGTCACTCACTCGTGTAGTAACACTCACGTCACTCACTGGTGTAGTAACACTCACGTCACTCACTGTGTAGTAACACTCACGTCACTCACTGGTGTAGTAACACTCACGTCACTCACTGGTGTAGTAACACTCACGTCACTCACTGGTGTAGTAACACTCACGTCACTCACTGGTGTAGTAACACTCACGTCACTCACTCGTGTAGTAACACTCACGTCACTCACTCGTGTAGTAACACTCACGTCACTCACTGGTGTAGTAACACTCACGTCACTCACTGGTGTAGTAACACTCACGTCACTCACTGGTGTAGTAACACTCACGTCACTCACTGGTGTAGTAACACTCACGTCACTCACTCGTGTAGTAACACTCACGTCACTCACTGGTGTAGTAACACTCACGTCACTCACTCGTGTAGTAACACTCACGTCACTCACTGGTGTAGTAAACACTCACGTCACTCACTGTGTAGTAACACTCACGTCACTCACTGGTGTAGTAACACTCACGTCACTCACTGGTGTAGTAACACTCACGTCACTCACTTGTGTAGTTATTTACACTCACGTCACTCACTCGTGTAGTAACACTCACGTCACTCACTGGTGTAGTAACACTCACAGTTATCACTCACTGTGTAGTAACACTCACGTCACTCACTCGTGTAGTAATACTCACGTCACTCACTGTGTGAGTAACACTCACGTCACTCACTCGTGTAGTAACACTCACGTCACTCACTGGTGTAGTAACACTCACGTCACTCACTTGTGTAGTAATACACTCCAACGTCACTCACTCGTGTAGTAACTCACTCACGTCACTCACTCGTGTAGTAACACTCACGTCACTCACTGTGTAGTAACACTCACGTCACTCACTGTGTAGTAACACTCACGTCACTCACTTGTGTAGTAACACTCACGTCACTCACTGTGTAGTAACACTCACGTCACTCACTGGTGTAGTAACACTCACGTCACTCACTCGTGTAGTAACACTCACGTCACTCACTCGTGTAGTAACACTCACGTCACTCACTCGTGTAGTAACACTCACGTCAATCACTTGTGTAGTTATTAACACTCACGTCACTCACTCGTGTAGTAACACTCACGTCACTCACTCGTGTAGTAACACTCACGTCACTCACTCGTGTAGTAACACTCACGTCATCACATTGTGTAGTAACACTCACGTCACTCACTCGTGTAGTAACACTCACTCACTCACTCGTGTAGTAACACTCACGTCACTCACTGTGTAGTAACACTCACGTCATCACTTGTGTAGTAACACTCACGTCACTCACTCGTGTAGTAACACTCACGTCACTCACTCGTGTAGTAACACTCACGTCACTCACTCGTGTAGTAACACTCACGTCACTCACTTGTGTAGTAATACTCACGTCACTCACTCGTGTAGTAACACTCACGTCACTCACTTGTGGAGTCAGTAACATACACGTCACTCACTCGTGTAGTAACACTCACGTCACTCACTTGTGTAGTAAACTCACGTCACTCACTTGTGTAGTAACACTCACGTCACTCACTTGTGTAGTAAACACTCACGTCACTCTATTGTGTTAGTAACACTCACGTCACTCACTCGTGTAGTAAACTCACGTCACTCACTTGTGTAGTAACATCACGTCACTCACTTGTGTAGTAAACATCACGTCACTCACTCGTGTAGTAATCACTCACGTCACTCACTTGTGTAGTAACACTCGTCACTTACTTGTGTAGTAACACTCACGTCATCACTTGTGTAGTAACACTCACGTCACTCTGTTAGTAACTACTCACGTCACTCACTTGTGTAGTAACACTCACGTCACTCACTTGTGTAGTAACACGTCACTCACTCGTGTAGTAATACTCACGTCACTCACTTGTGTAGTAACACGTCACTCACTTGTGTAGTAACACTCACGTCACTCACTCGTGTAGTAAATCACGTCACTCATGTGTAGTAACACTCACGTCACCACTCGTGTAGTAACACTCACGTCACTCACTTGTGTAGTAACACTCACGTCACTCACTTGTGTAGTAACACTCACGTCACTCACTCGTGTAGTAACACTCACGTCACTCACTCGTGTAGTAACACTCACGTCACTCACTCGTGTAGTAACACTCACGTCACTCACTTGTGTAGTAACACTCACGTCACTCACTTGTGTAGTAACACTCACGTCACTCACTTGTGTAGTAACACTCACGTCACTCACTTGTGTAGTAACACTCACGTCACTCACTCGTGTAGTAACACTCACGTCACTCACTGTGTAGTAACAACTCACGTCACTCACTTGTGTAGTAACACTCACGTCACTCACTCGTTAGTAAACCTCACGTCACTCACTTGTGTAGTAACACTCACGTCACTCACTTGTGTAGTAACACTCACGTCACTCACTTGTGTAGTAACACTCACGTCACTCACTTGTGTAGTAACACTCACGTCACTCACTTGTGTAGTAACACTCACGTCACTCACTTGTGTAGTAACACTCACGTCACTCACTTGTGTAGTAACACTCACGTCACTCACTTGTGTAGTAACACTCACGTCACTCACTTTGTGTAGTAACACTCACGTCACTCACTTGTGTAGTAACACTCACGTCACTCATTTGTTTAGTAACACTCACGTCACTCACTTGTGTAGTAACACTCACGTCACTCATTTGTTTAGTAACACTCACGTCACTCACTTGTGTAGTAACACTCACGTCACTCACTTGTGTAGTAACACTCACGTCACTCACTCGTGTAGTAACACTCACGTCACTCACTTGTGTAGTAACACTCACGTCACTCACTCGTGTAGTAACACTCACGTCACTCATTTGTTTAGTAACACTCACGTCACTCACTTGTGTAGTAACACTCACGTCACTCACTTGTGTAGTAACACTCACGTCACTCACTTTGTGTTAGTAACACTCACGTCACTCACTTGTGTAGTAACATCACTCACTCTGTAGTACATCACGTCTCCGATTTGTTAGTAACACTCACGTCACTCACTTGTGTAGTAACACTCACGTCACTCACTTGTGTAGTAACCACTCACTCACCTGTGAGACACTCACGTCACTTCGTGTAGTAACACTCACGTCACTCACTTGTGTAGTAACACTCACGTCACTCACTCGTGTAGTAACACTCACGTCACTCACTCGTGTAGTTAGTAACACTCACGTCACTCACTCGTGTAGTAACACTCACGTCACTCACTCGTGTAGTAACACTCACGTCACTTCTTGTAGTAACACTCACGTATACTCGTGTAGTAAACACTCACGTCATCACTCGTGTAGTAACACTCACGTCACTCACTCGTGTAGTAACACTCACGTCACTACGTGTAGTAGTAACACTCACGTCACTCACTCGTGTAGTAACACTCACGTCACTACTGTGTAGTAAACACTCACGTCACTCGTGTAGTAACACTCACTCACTCACTCGTAGTTAGTAACACTCACGTCACTCGTGTAGTAACACTCACGTCACTCGTGTAGTAACACTCACGTCACTCGTGTAGTAACACTCACGTCACTCGTGTAGTAACACTCACGTCACTCGTGTAGTAACACTCACGTCACTCGTGTAGTAACACACGTCACTCGTGTGTAACACTCACTCACGTGTAGTAACACTCACGTCACTCGTGTAGTAACACTCACGTCATCTGTGTAGTAACACTCACGTCACTCGTAGTACACTCACTCACTCGTGTAGTAACACTCACGTCACTCGTGTAGTAACACTCACGTCACTCACTTGTGTAGTAACACTCACGTCACTCACTCGTGTAGTAACACTCACGTCACTCGTGTAGTAACACTCACGTCACTCGTGTAGTAACACTCACGTCACTCGTGTAGTAACACTCACGTCACTCACTTGTGTAGTAACACTCACGTCACTCGTGTAGTAACACTCACGTCACTCACTTGTGTAGTAACACTCACGTCACTCGTGTAGTAACACTCACGTCACTCGTGTAGTAACACTCACGTCACTCGTGTAGTAACACTCACGTCACTCGTGTAGTAACACTCACGTCACTCGTGTAGTAACACTCACGTCACTCGTGTAGTAACACTCACGTCACTCTTGTGTAGTAAACTCACGTCACTCTGTGTAGTAACACTCACGTCACTCCGTGTAGTAACTACTCACGTCACTCGTGTAGTAACACTCACGTCACTCTTGTAGTAAACACTTCACGGTCGTCACTCGTGTAGTAACACTCACGTCACTCACTTGTGTAGTAACACTCACGTCACATCGTGTAGTAACACTCACGTCACTCATTGTGTAGTAACACTCACGTCACTCGTGTAGTAACACTCACGTCACTCACTTGTGTAGTAACACTCACGTCACTCGTGTAGTAACACTCACGTCACTTGTGTAGTAACACTCACGTCACTCACTCGTGTAGTAACTCTCACGTCACTCACTTGTGTAGTAACACTCACGTCACTCACTTGTGTAGTAACAACTCACGTCCACTCACTCTGTGTAGTAACACTCACGTCACTCACTTGTGTAGTAACACTCACGTCACTCACTTGTGTAGTAATACTCACGTCACTCACTTGTGTAGTAACACTCACGTCACTCACTTGTGTAGTAACACTCACGTCACTCACTTGTGTAGTAACACTCACGTCACTCACTTGTGTAGTAATACTCACGTCACTCACTTGTGTAGTAACACTCACGTCACTCACTTGTGTAGTAATACTCACGTCACTCACTTGTGTAGTAACACTCACGTCACTCACTTGTGTAGTAACACTCACGTCACTCACTTGTGTAGTAACACTCACGTCACTCACTGTGTAGTAACACTCAGTACGTCACTCACTCGTGTAGTAACACTCACGTCACTCATGTGTAGTAACACTCACGTCACTCGTGTAGTAACACATCACGTTCACACTCACTTGTGTAGTAACACTCACGTCACTCACTTGTGTAGTAACACTCACGTCACTCACTTGTGTAGTAACACTCACGTCACTCGTGTAGTAACACTCACGTCACTCGTGTAGTAACACTCACGTCACTCGTGTAGTAACACTCACGTCACTCACTTGTGTAGTAACACTCACGTCACTCACTTGTGTAGTAACACTCACGTCACTCACTTGTGTAGTAACACTCACGTCGCTCACTCGTGTAGTAACACTCACGTCACTCACTCGTGTAGTAACTCTCACGTCACTCACTCGTGTAGTAACACTCACGTCACTCACTTGTGTAGTAACACTCACGTCACTCACTTGTGTAGTAACACTCACGTCACTCACTCGTGTAGTAACACTCACGTCACTCGTGTAGTAACACTCACGTCACTCGTGTAGTAACACTCACGTCACTCACTACACACAGGACAAATTTATTACAGACGTTTCGCCTTTGGGACCTTGATCACTTCAAATGTTCTTGAAATGATCAAGGTCTCCTTCATGTTATTATCCGTTTGTTTACATGATTCTTCAGCATGATATACACGACCTCATCTTGTAGTTTCGTGGTAGAGTAAATTGTCTCACAGCCGCAAGAACCCGGGTTCCAATCCTGGGTAAGGTGAGACATGTAGTATGTGTCTTACTCGTCAACTTGTGGATGAATTAATAGGCCTACCTCCGGGGTAAGTAGGCCTAACCGTCAGGGGGTAAGAAATTAATCTCACAGTACCAGCCGCTCAGACGGGGCTGTAAAGCGTCACCCTGATTATGTATGAGCTGATGAACCCAAGTTAGATTCTCATTCCTGTTAAATAATATAATGATAAAGAACAAAATGGCACAATACTGGACAATACACAAATACTGGAACAATACACAAATACTGGAACAATACACAAATACTGGAACAATACACAAATACTGGAACAATACACAAATACTGGAACAATACACAAATAATCTGCACAGGAGAGAGAAGCTTACGACGACGTTTAGGTCCGATTCGGACCATTTACAAAGTCACACTTGCGTGACTTTGTAAATGACCCAAGCCGGACTGAAATGTCGTTGTAAGCTCCTCCCTCCCACTTTTGTGTTTTTGTGTATATAACGTTATAAAACAGTGGTGACCTCTAATATAGTGTGATGTGTGTGATACAACGTATATAACAGAGTGATTCACTAACCTTGTTATACACTATAATCTGACATGACTCATATAAAACAGTGTTACACGTGGGTAATAGTAAAGTATAATCTAATAAATATAATCTGCTATGATAAATATAACAAACAATGTTGCACCTGCAGGTCAGGCGTACTCCATCACCACAGACTTCCACCTGGGTGACATCTACACCCTCTCTGACGTCAACGGCGCCGCCAACAACTCTGAAACCGTCGCTGGACCCTTCGGCTTCGGCTACGCCATCAGTCTTAACGGCTCGAAAGATCAGGTGTGTGTGTGTGTACTCAATTCTTCGTGGTGGCAAGGGTTTATTTATAGCTCCTGGCCCCGCCTCTTCACTGTTCGCCACTAGGTCCACTCTTTCCTGCTCCATGAGCTTTATCATACCCCTTCTTAAAGCTATGTATGGTTCCTGCCTCCACTACATCTTTTGCCAGACTATTCCACTTCCTGACAACTCTATGACTAAGGAATACTTCCTAACATCTCTTTGATTCATCTGAGTCTTCAACTTCCAATTGTGACCCTTTGTTTCTGTGTCCCACCTCCGGAACATCTTGTCTCTGTCCACCTTGTCAATTCCTCGCAGTATTTTGTATGTCGTTATCATGTCTCCCCTGACCCTCCTGTCCTCCAGTGTCGTCAGGCCGATTTCCTTTAGAGTTTCTTCGTAGGACATTCCCCTTAGGTCTGGAACTAGCCTTGTTGCAAACCTTTGTACTTTCTCTAATTTCTTGACGTGCTTGACCCGGTGTGGGTTCCAAACAGGTGCTGCATACTCCAGTATGGGCCTGACGTACACGGTGTACAGTGTCTTGAAAGATTTCTGACTTAGGCATCGGAACGCTATTCTCAGGTTTGCCAGGCGCCATATGCTGCAGCAGTTATGTGGTTGATGTGTGCTTCCGAAGACATGCTCGGTGTTATACTCACCCCAAGATCTTTCTCCCTGAGCGAGGTTTGTAGTCTTTGGCCACCTAGCCTATACTCTGTCTGCGGTCTTCTTTGCCCTTCCCCGATCTTCATGACTTTGCATTTGGCGGGGTTAAATTCGAGAAGCCAGTTGCTGGACCAGGTGTCCAGTCTGTCCAGGTCTCTTTGAAGTCCTGCCTGATCCTGATCTGATTTAATTCTCCTCATTAACATCACATCATCTGCAAATAGGGACACTTCTGAGTCTATCCCTTCATATTTGTGTGTGTGTGTGTGTACTCACCTAGTTGTGGTTGCGGGGGTCGATTCACAGCTCCTGGCCCGCCTCTTCACTGGCCGCTACTGGGTCACTCTACCCGCTCCGTGAGCTTTATCATACCTCTCCTTAAAGTCATGTATGGATCCTGCCTCCACTACATCACCTCCAAGACTACTCCACTTCCTGACAACTCTGACTGAAAAAATATTTCCTAACATCCCTGTGGTTCATCTACTTTCAACTGTATCCATTTGTTGCTGTGTCCCATCTCTGGAACATCCTGTCTCTGTCCACCTTGTCGATTTCTCTCAGTATTTTATATGCCGTTATCATATCCCCCCTATCTTTTCTGTCTTCCAGTGTCGTCAGGTTGATTTCCCTTAGCCCCTCCTCGTAGGACATACCCCTTTGCTCCGGGACTAGTCTTACTGCAAACCTTTGCACTTTCTTTAGTTTCCTTACATGCGTGGCTAGGTGAGGGTTCCAAACTGGCGCTGCATACTCCAATATGGGCCTAATGTGCACAGTGTACAGGGTCCTGAATGACTCCTTATTAAGATGTCAGAATACTGTTTTTAGGTTTGCCAGGTACCCGTATGCTGCAGCAGTTATTTAGTTGATGTGCTCCTCAGGAGATGTACCCGGTGTTATACTCACCTTGAGTGAGATGTGTAGGCTCTGGTACTCCGTCTGTGGTCTTCTTTTCCCTTCCCCAATCTTCATAACTTTGCACTTGGTGGGGTTGAACTCCAGGAGCCAGTTGCTGGACCAGGCATGCAGCCTGTCCAGATCCCTCTGTAGTTCTACCTGATCCTCGTCCGACTGAGTTCTTCTCATCAGCTTAACATCATCTGCAAATAGGGACACTTCGGAGTCTATTCCTTCCGTCATGTCGTTCACAAATACCAAAAACAGCACCGGTCACATCACTGATCCCTGTGGCACCCCGCTCGTTACAGGCACCCACTCTGACACCTCGCAACGTACCATGACTCGCTGTTGTCTTCCTGACACGTATTTCCTGATCCATCGTAGTTCCTTCCCTATTATCCCTGCCTGGTCCTCCATCTTTTGCACTAATCTCTTGTGTGGAACTGTGTCAAACGCCTTCATACAGTCCAAGAAAATGCAGTCTACCCACCCCTCTCTTTCTTGTCTTTCTGCTGTCACCCTGTCATAGAACTCCAGTAGGTTTGTGACACAGAATTTCCCATCCCTGAAACCGTGTTGGCTGTCATTGATAAGCTTGTTCCTTGTTAGGTGCTCCACCACTCTTCTCTTGATAATCTTCTCCACGACTTTGCATACTATACATATCAGTGACACTGGTCTATAGTTTAATGCTTCGTGTTTGTCTCCTTTTTTTAAAAATTGGGACTACATTTGCTGTCTTCCATACCTCAGGTAGTCGTCCTGTGTTGATAGATGCATTGAAGATTGTTGTTAGTGATACACATAGTGCCTCTGCTCCCTCTCTCAGTACCCATGGAGAGATGTTATCCAACCCCGTCGCTTTTGAGGTATCTAGCTCGCTTAGCAGCCTCTTCACTTCTTCCTCGGTTGTATTTATTGTGTCCAACTCTTGATGGTGTACCCCACCTCTCTGTCTTTCTGGAGTCTCTTCTGTATCATCTGTGAACACTTCTTCGAATCTCGTATTGAGCTCCTCACATGCTTCACCGTCGTTTCGTATAAACTCCCCTCTTTCCTTCCTCAGCCTGATTACCTGATCCTTGACTGTTGTTTTCCTCCTGATGTGGCTGTACAATAGCTCCGGATCAAATTTGGCTTTCGCTGCTATGTCATTTTCGTATGTTGGTAATTCCTTCAGCCTTAGTTTCTCTTGCAGGATCCTGTGTGTGTGTGTGTGTGTGTGTACTCACCTAATTGTGCTCACCTAATTGTGGTTGCAGGGGTCGAGTCTCAGCTCCTGGCCCCGCCTCTTTACTGATCGCTACTAGGTCCTCTCCCTCTCTGCTTCCTGAGCTTTGTCATACCTCTTCTTAAAACTATGTATGGTTCCTGCCTCCACTACTTCACTTGCTAGGCTATTCCACTTCCTGACGACTCTATGCTTGAAGAAATACTTCCTAACGTCCCTGTGACTCGTCTGAGCTTTCAGCTTCCAGTTGTGACCCCTTGTTTCTGTGTCCCCTCTCTGGAACATCCTATCTCTGTCCACCTTGTCTATTCCCCGCAGTATCTTGTATGTCGTTATCATGTCTCCCCTGACCCTTCTGTCCTCCAGTGTCGTCAGTCCGATTTCCCCCAACCTTTCCTTGTACGACATTCCCCTGAGCTCTGGGACTAGCCTTGTTGCAAACCTTTGTACTTTCTCTAACTTCTTGACGTGCTTGATCAGGTGTGGGTTCCAGACTGGTGCTGCATACTCCAGTATGGGCCTAACATACACAGTGTACAGTGTCTTGAACGATTCCTTAATAAGGTATCGGAACGCTATTCTCAGGTTTGCCAGGCGCCCGTATGCTGCAGCAGTTATTTGGATGACGTGTGCCTCCGGTGACGTGCTCGGTGTTATGGTCACCCCAAGGTCTTTCTCCCTGAGTGAGGTCTGTAGTCTTTGTCCACCTAGCCTATACTCTGTCTGCAGTCTTCTTTGCCCCTCCCCAATCTTCATGACTTTACATTTGGCAGGGTTGAATTCGAGAAGCCAGTTTCTGGACCACATGTCCAGCCTGTCCAGGTCTCTTTGCAGTCCTGCCTCATCCTCATCCGATTTAATTCTTCTCATCAACTTCACATCATCTGCGAACAGGGACACTTCAGAGTCTATTCCTTCCATTATGTCGTTCGCATATATCAAAAATAGCACTGGTCCTAGAACTGACCTCTGTGGGACCCCGCTCGTAACAGGCGCCCACTGTGATACCTCTTCACGTACCATGACTCGTTGTTGCCTCCCTGTCAGGTATTCCCTGATCCATTGCAGTGCCCTCCCTGTTATGTGCCTAATCCTCCAGCTTCTGCACTAATCTCTCGTGGGGAACTGTGTCAAAGGCCTTCCTGCAGTCAAGGAAAATGCAATCAACCCACCCCTCTCTCTCGTGTTTTACTTCTGTTACCTTGTCATAAAACTCCAGAAGGTTTGTGACACAGGATTTGCCTTCCATGAGCCCATGCTGGTTTTCATTTATAATCTTGTTCCACTCCAGGTGTTCCACCACTCTCCTCCTGATAATCTTCTCCATGACTTTGCACACAATACATGTCAGAGACACAGGTCTGTAGTTTAGTGCCTCATTTCTGTTTCCTTTCTTAAATATGGGGACTACATTTGCTGTCTTCCATTTCTCAGGTAGTTGCCCAGTTTCAAGGGATGTGTTGAAGATTGTGGTTAGGGGCACGCACAGCATCTCTGTTCCTTCTCTAAGGACCCACGGGGAGATGTTGTATGGTCCCATCGCCTTTGAGGTGTAAAGGTCACTTAGCAGTTTCTGCACCTCCTCCTCGGTTGTTCGTATGTCATCCAACACTTGTTGGTATATTCCCTCTTGATGTTCCCTTCTGTGCTGTCTTCCCAGAGCCCTTCCTGTCTCTACTGTAAAAACTTCCTTAAATCTCCTGTTTAGCTCCTCACATACCTCCTGATCATTTCTTGTGAGTTCTCCACCTTCTGTCCTCAGTCTGATCACCTGGTCTTTGACTGTTGTCTTCCTCCTGTTGTGGCTATACAACAGTTTCGGGTCAGTCTTGATTTTCGATGCTATGTTATTTTCATACTGTCGCTGGGCCTCTCTCCTTACCTGTGCATACTCGTTCTTGGCTCTGCGACTAATCTCCCTATTTTCATGTGTTCTCTGCCTTCTGTACTTTTTCCATTCTCTATTGCACTTTGTTTTAGCCTCCTTACACCGTCGGGTAAACCAGGGGCTCGTTCTGGTCTTCTCATTGTTTCTGTTGCCCTTGGGAATAAACCTTTCCACTGCCTCCTTGCATTTTGTTGTTACATATTCCATCATTTCATTTACTGGCTTTCCTGCCAGTTCTCTGTCCCACGGAACCTCCTACAGGAAGTTCCTCAACCCCATGTAGTCCCCTCTTTTATAGTCTGGCTTTTCCCATTCAACTCCTGTTACTCTCTCCACTTGCAACTCTACTATGTATTCAAAGCACAGAACCACGTGGTCACTAGCTCCTAGGGGACTCTCATATGTGATGTCCTCAATGTCTGAACTGCCCAGGGTGAACACAAGGTCCAATCTTGCTGGTTTATCCTTCTCTCTCACTCTGGTAGTGTCCTTAACATGTTGGTGCATGAGGTTTTCCAGCACCACATCCAACATCTTGGCTCTCCATGTTTCGGGACCCCCATGTGGCTCCAGGTTTTCCCAGTCAATCTCCCTGTGGTTGAAATCCCCCATAACCAGCAACTTTGCTCTGCTGGAGTGAGCTCTTCTTGCCACCTCAGCAAGTGTGTCCACCATTGCTCTGTTGCTCTCTTCATATTCCTCTCTTGGCCTCCTGCAGTTCTGTGGTGGATTATACATCACTGCAATGACCACCTTGTGCTCCCTAGACTGAAGTGTACCTACTCTGTAGTCCCTTTCTCCTGTTTCGTCTATGCCTCCCATTTCCTCGAATTTCCATCGGTTTCTTACGAGAAGAGCAACTCCTCTTTCCCCTCTGCCCCTTCTATCTTTCCTCATGATCTGGTATCCTGGTGGGAAGATTGCATCTGTTATTGTCTCTGTGAGTTTTGTTTCTGCAACTGCTATGATGTCTGGGGACTTCTCATTGATTCTTTCTTGTGTGTGTGTGTTAGTTACCATTTTGTCCTAGGCACATGTCGATTAGACACTAGGCCTGTTGAATGTGTGTGTATATGCGTGTGCGTGTGTGTGTGTGTGCGTGTGCGTGTGCGTGCGTGGGGTGTGTGTGTGTGAGTGTGTGTGTGTGTGTGTGTGTGTGTGTGTGTGTGTGTGTGTGTGTTGTGTGCGTGTGTGTGTGTACGTGTGTGTGTACGTGTGTGTGTTAGTTACCATTTTGTCCTAGGCACATGTCGTGTGTGTGTGTGTGTGTGTGTGTGTGTGTGTGTGTGTGTGTGTGTGTGTGTGTGGTGTGTGTGTGTGTGTGTGTGTGTGTGTGTGTGTGTGTGTGTGTGTGTGTGTGTGTGTACTCACTCAATTGCATTCATCTAATTGTGGTTGCAGGGGTTGAGACTCAGTTCCTGGCCCCGCCTCTTCACTGAACTCTACTAGGTTCTCTCTCTCCCTGCTCCATGAACTTTATCATACCTCGTCTTAAAACTATGTATGGTTCCTGCCTCCACTACCTCACTTGCTAGACTATTCCACTTCCTGACTACTCTATGACTGAAGAAATACTTCCTAACATCCCTCTGACTCAACTGAGTCTTCAACTTTCAAATGTGACCCCTTGTTTCTGGTTTCTGTGTCCCCTCTTTGCAACATCCTGTCTCTATATATATTGTCTATTCCACGCAGTATTTTGTATGTCGTAATCATGTCTCCCCTAACCCTCCTGTCCTCCAGTGTCGTTAGGCCGATTTCCCTTAACCTTTCTTCGTAGGACAATCCCCTTAGCTCTGGAACTAACCTCGTCGTAAACCTTTGCACTTTCTGTGTGTGTGTGTGTGTGTGTGTGTATGTGTGTGTGTGTGTGTGTGTGTGTGTGTGTGTGTGTGTGTGTACTCACCTAATTGTGGTTGCAGGGGTCGATACTCAGCTCCTGGCCCCGTGTGGTGTGTGTGTGTGTGTGTGTGTGTGTGTGTGTGTGTGTGTGTGTGTGTGTGTGTGTGTGTGTGTGTGTACTCATCTAGTTGTGGTTGCAGAAGTCGAGTCATAGCTCCTGGCCCCGCCTCTTCACTGGCCTCTACTGGGTCACTCTCCCTGTACTATGAGCTTTATCATACCTCTGCTTAAAGCTATGAATGGATCCCGCCTCCACTATATCACTTCCCAAACTATTTCACTTCCTGTCTACCCTGTGACTGAAGAAATCCTTCCTAACATCCCTGTGATTCATCTGTGTCTTCAACTTCCAACTGTGTCCCCTTGTTGTTGTGTCCCATCACTGGAACATTCTGTCTCTGCCCACCTTTTCAATTCCTCTCAATTCCTGTGTGTGTGTGTGCGTGTGTTCAATGTTACCATAGTCACAGTTCATAGGAATTAAAATTATTAGTGACAATTTTCGTATTACGGTAACTGTGTTGTTATGTTGATAACCATAATGGTCCACCCTGTCCTCACCTACCCTGTCTTCACCTACCATGATCTCACCTACCCTGTCCTCACCTACCCTGTCCTCACCTACCCTGTCCTCACCTACCCTGTCTTCACCTACCATGACCTCACCTACCCTGTCCTCACCTACCCTGTCTTCACCTACCCTGTCTTCACCTACCATGACCTCACCTACCCTGTCCTCACCTACCCTGTCTTCACCTACCCTGTCTTCACCTACCATGACCTCACCTACCCTGTCCTCACCTACCCTGTCCTCACCTACCATGATCTCACCTACCCTGTCCTCACCTACCCTGTCCTCACCTACCCTGTCTTCACCTACCATGACCTCACCTACCCTGTCCTCACCTACCCTGTCCTCACCTACCATGACCTCACCTACCCTGTCCTCACCTACCCTGTCTTCACCTACCATGACCTCACCTACCCTGTCCTCACCTACCCTGTCCTCACCTACCCTGTCTTCACCTACCATGACCTCACCTACCCTGTCCTCACCTACCCTGTCTTCACCTACCATGACCTCACCTACCCTGTCCTCACCTACCCTGTCTTCACCTACCATGACCTCACCTACCCTGTCCTCACCTACCCTGTCCTCACCTACCATGACCTCACCTACCCTGTCCTCACCTACCCTGTCCTCACCTACCATGATCTCACCTACCCTGTCCTCACCTACCCTGTCCTCACCTACCCTGTCTTCACCTACCATGACCTCACCTACCCTGTCCTCACCTACCCTGTCCTCACCTACCATGACCTCACCTACCCTGTCCTCACCTACCCTGACCTCACCTACCATGACCTCACCTACCCTGTCTTCACCTACCATGACCTCACCTACCCTGTCCTCACCTACCCTGTCCTCACCTACCATGACATCACCTACCCTGTCCTCACCTACCCTGTCCTCACCTACCATGACCTCACCTACCATGACCTCACCTACCCTGTCCTCACCTACCATGACCTCACCTACCCTGTCCTCACCTACCATGTCCTCACCTACCCTGTCCTCACCCAGCATGACCTCACCTACCCTGTCCTCACCTACCCTGTCTTCACCTACCATGACCTCACCTACAATGACCTCACCTACCCTGTCCTCACCTACCATGACCTCACCTACCCTGTCCTCACCTACCATGTCCTCACCTACCCTGTCCTCACCCAGCATGACCTCACCTACCCTGTCCTCACCTACCCTGTCCTCACCTACCCTGTCCTCACCTACCCTGTCCTCACCTACCCTGTCCTCACCTACCCTGTCCTCACCTACCGTCCTCACCTACCCTGTCCTCGCCTACCCTGTCCTCACCTACCCTGTCCTCACCTACCCTGTCCTCACCTACCCTGTCCTCACCTACCCTATCCTCACCTACCCTGTCCTCACCTGACCTGTCCTCACCTTCCCTGTCCTCACCTACCCTATCCTCACCTGCCCTGTCCTCACCTGACCTGTCCTCACCTACCCTGTCCTTACTTACCCTGTCCTCACCTACCCTATCCTCACCTGCCCTGTCCTCACCTGACCTGTCCTCACCTGACCTGTACTCACCTGACCTGTCCTTACTTACCCTGTCCTCACCCACCCTGTCCTCACATACCCTGTCCTCACCTACCCTGTCCTCACCTACCCTGTCCTCACATACCTTGTCCTCACCTGCCCTGTTCTCACCTACCCTGTCCTCACCTCCTATCTCTGCTGCAGTGTGTCTCAGACAAGAACTTCGCCAGCAACAATAGCTGCATGTACGACCCAGCTCAGTGTACACAAGGCTTTAGCATCAGTATCTGGGAGAGATCCAACTTCAGCTTGCAGGAGTTCATGGGCGCCAGTAACTACCAGACTTTTCCCTTGAAGTACCTGGTCTCCACCGGTAAGTGTACCTGGTCTCCACCGGTAAGTGTACCTGGTCTCCACCGGTAAGTGTACCTGGTCTCCACCGGTAAGTGTACCTGGTCTCCACCAGTAAGTGTACTTGGTCTCCACCGGTAAGTGTACCTGGTCTCCACCGGTAAGTGTACCTGGTCTCCACCGGTAAGTGTACCTGGTCTCCACCGGTAAGTGTACCTGGTCTCCACCGGTAAGTGTACCTGGTCTCCACCGGTAAGTGTACCTGGTCTCCACCGGTAAGTGTACCTGGTCTCCACCGGTAAGTGTACCTGGTCTCCACCGGTAAGTGTACCTGGTCTCCACCGGTAAGTGTACCTGGTCTCCACCGGTAAGTGTACCTGGTCTCCACCGGTAAGTGTACCTGGTCTCCACCGGTAAGTGTACCTGGTCTCCACCGGTAAGTGTACCTGGTCTCCACCGGTAAGTGTACCTGGTCTCCACCGGTAAGTGTACCTGGTCTCCACCGGTAAGTGTACCTGGTCTCCACCGGTAAGTGTACCTGGTCTCCACCGGTAAGTGTACCTGGTCTCCACTGGTAAGTGTACCTGGTCTCCACCGGTAAGTGTATCTGGTCTCCACCGGTAAGTGTACCTGGTCTCCACTGGTAAGTGTACCTGGTCTCCACTGGTAAGTGTACCTGGTCTCCACTGGTAAGTGTACCTGGTCTCCACCGGTAAGTGTACCTGGTCTCCACCGGTAAGTGTACCTGGTCTCCACCGGTAAGTGTATCTGGTCTCCACCGGTAAGTGTACCTGGTCTCCACCGGTAAGTGTACCTGGTCTCCACCGGTAAGTGTACCTGGTCTCCACCGGTAAGTGTACCTGGTCTCCACTGGTAAGTGTACCTGGTCTCCACTGGTAAGTGTAACTGGTCTCCACCGGTAAGTGTATCTGGTCTCCACCGGTAAGTGTACCTGGTCTCCACCGGTAAGTGTACCTGGTCTCCACCGGTAAGTGTACCTGGTCTCCACCGGTAAGTGTACCTGGTCTCCACTGGTAAGTGTACCTGGTCTCCACCGGTAAGTGTACCTGGTCTCCACCGGTAAGTGTATCTGGTCTCCACCGGTAAGTGTACCTGGTCTCCACCGGTAAGTGTACCTGGTCTCCACCGGTAAGTGTATCTGGTCTCCACCGGTAAGTGTACCTGGTCTCCACCGGTAAGTGTACCTGGTCTCCACTGGTAAGTGTACCTGGTCTCCACCGGTAAGTGTACTTGGTCTCCACCGGTAAGTGTACCTGGTCTCCACTGGTAAGTGTACCTGGTCTCCACCGGTAAGTGTACCTGGTCTTCACTGGTAAGTGTACCTGGTCTCCACTGGTAAGTGTACCTGGTCTCCACTGGTAAGTGAACCTGGTCTCCACCGGTAAGTGTACCTGGTCTCCACCGGTAAGTGTACCTGGTCTCCACTGGTAAGTGTACCTGGTCTCCACCGGTAAGTGTACCTGGTCTCCACCGGTAAGTGTACCTGGTCTCCACTGGTAAGTGTACCTGGTCTCCACTGGTAAGTGTACCTGGTCTCCACTGGTAAGTGTACCTGGTCTCCACTGGTAAGTGTACCTGGTCTCCACCGGTAAGTGTACCTGGTCTCCACCGGTAAGTGTACCTTGTCTCCACCGGTAAGTGTACCTGGTCTCCACCGGTAAGTGTACCTGGTCTCCACTGGTAAGTGTACCTGGTCTCCACTGGTAAGTGTATCTGGTCTCCACTGGTAAGTGTACCTGGTCTCCTCCGGTAAGTGTACCTCGTCTGATTATTCAAGATTAATGAGCTTGTGTATATTAGACACATGTGTAACACTTGGGGATCTTTACTGTGGAATCGTTTCGCCACACAGTGGCTTCATCAGTCCAAGACAGAGAGAAATGGTTGAAGATCAGATGGAGTTTGAGTTAACCAGTCTCCATTGACCTCAGACTGAGAGGGACTGATTACCTTAAGTTCCTGAATGAACATTAAAATGGTATAAAATACCGACAGATTGTTAGGTAAGACACATATGCAACAGTTAGGTATCTTTATTTTGAAACGTTTCGCCTACACAGTAGGCTTCTTCAGTCGAGTACAGAAAAGTTGATAGAAGCAGAAGATACTTAAAGACGATGTAATCAGTCCATCACCCTTAAAGTTTTGAGGTGGTCAGTCCCTCAGTCTGGAGAAGAGCATTGTTCCGTTGTCTGAACAACCTTAAGTTCCTTCTGATCTTCAACCATTCTTCTCTATCTTGGACTGATGAAGCCACTGTGTGGCGAAACGTTTCCACAGTAAAGATCTCCAAGTGTTGCACTTGTGTCTAATTTATCAACTTGTCGGTTCTCTAAACCATTTATCTACGTTAATGAGCTTGTTGAATCATGTCAACAATAGAAGCGTCCCTGAGGGAAGACACTTTCGTTCATTGCTACGGTACAGGGAACTCAACAAGATACTGTGTAGAGGGAAAGAACTGTCTTCCTGATGTTAGTTCAGTAACTATGTCTCTCTCGGCATTTCAGAACGATGTGGGGCATTTCCTGGCATTTAAAAATTCTCGCTATACGTGTAAATTAAAAATTCTTGGCAGAATTTCTCGAAGTATAATGAATCTTTAGTGGATGTTAAATAAGGTTTAGTCATTTTTCTTTTTGTTAATAAAACTGGAAATCTTTATGTAAGTTTATAAATGTTGATGAGTGTTTTTAAGACTAACACGTAAAATACGATTTGTCTAACCCAGGTATACCATACATGTATGCCAAGTAAAGTACATTTGTCTAACCCAGGTATACCATACATGTATGCCAAGTAAAGTACATTTGTCTAACCCAGGTATACCATACATGTATGCCAAGTAAAGTACATTTGTCTAACCCAGATATACCATACATGTATGCCAAGTAAAGTACATTTGTCTAACCCAGGTATACCATACATGTATGCTAAGTAAAGTACATTTGTCTAACCCAGGTATACCATACATGTATGCCAAGTAAAGTACATTTGTCTAACCCAGGTATACTATACATGTATGCCAAGTAAAGTACATTTGTCTAACCCAGGTATACCATACATGTATGCCAAGTAAAGTACATTTGTCTAACCCAGGTATACCATACATGTATGCCAAGTAAAGTACATTTGTCTAACCCAGGTATACCATACATGTATGCCAAGTAAAGTACATTTGTCTAACCCAGGTTATACCATACATGTATGCCAAGTAAAGTACATTTGTCTAACCCAGGTATACCATACATGTATGCCAAGTAAAGTACATTTGTCTAACCCAGGTATACCATACATGTATGCCAAGTAAAGTACATTTGTCTAACCCAGATATACCATACATGTATGCCAAGTAAAGTACATTTGTCTAACCCAGGTATACCATACATGTATGCTAAGTAAAGTACATTTGTCTAACCCAGGTATACCATACATGTATGCCAAGTAAAGTACATTTGTCTAACCCAGGTATACTATACATGTATGCCAAGTAAAGTACATTTGTCTAACCCAGGTATACCATACATGTATGCCAAGTAAAGTACATTTGTCTAACCCAGGTATACCATACATGTATGCCAAGTAAAGTACATTTGTCTAACCCAGGTATACCATACATGTATGCCAAGTAAAGTACATTTGTCTAACCCAGGTATACCATACATGTATGCCAAGTAAAGTACATTTGTCTAACCCAGGTATACCATACATGTATGCCAAGTAAAGTACATTTGTCTAACCCAGGTATACCATACATGTATGCCAAGTAAAGTACATTTGTCTAACCCAGATATAACATACATGTATGCCAAGTAAAGTACATTTGTCTAACCCAGGTATACCATACATGTATGCTAAGTAAAGTACATTTGTCTAACCCAGGTATACCATACATGTATGCCAAGTAAAGTACATTTGTCTAACCCAGGTATACTATACATGTATGCCAAGTAAAGTACATTTGTCTAACCCAGGTATACCATACATGTATGCCAAGTAAAGTACATTTGTCTAACCCAGGTATACCATACATGTATGCCAAGTAAAGTACATTTGTCTAACCCAGGTATACCATACATGTATGCCAAGTAAAGTACAGTATGTAAAGTGAAAGGAGACAAGTGTAACTAATGTGACATTTTTATTGTGGCAACGTTTCGCTCTCCAGGAGCTTCGTCAAGCCGTTACAAACAGTACATGGACACAGAGGGTATATATAGGCTCAGAGTGAGATGTAATACTAGTGATAGTAACGGTGATATAACTTGTAGTAGTAATACAATATGTTAGAACAATTAACTCGCACATGAGTAAAAGGATATAAAAGCTATAACTTGGGTAACATAACAAATGGGTTAGATAAATATTTCTATTGGATGTGCAAGACAGGTATACAATACCGACAAGATGAAAGTTAAGGCACTGCAACATCATGGTATCTTGATTCAGAGGACATCTACATGACCTTCTTCACAACCTCTACAACTAACCCATCACAGTCAGGTTATCTCCTGTGTGTGTCACCTTGACTGTTATACTGTTCCAAGATGAGCTTCTCTAACAGAGTCAAGATAAAACCATCCAGTGGTACGATCAATGACTCCACCAAGCTTGCCCTTGCTGTGGTAATCAGGGGTCTACAGGTCAAGATTAATACCATCCTCTCACTCCATGAAGCCTTCATTATTGTCTGTGAAGAAGATGTTGAAGCTGAAAAACTACTGACCTCCTCTGCTTTGTCCACTTTATCAGACCGTGGCTTCAAAGTCATGTCTTCTTCTGCCTTACGAGCTAAGAGGACTGTCTTCTTGAAGAGACTTGACAAACTGATTACCATACAACCTGTTGAAGACTTAAAGACCTCCATAGAAGAACAAAATCCCTGGGCTACAACTGAAAGCATCACCAAGATTCCTACTGCCTCCTCCATGCTGAAAATCACTTTTACTGATGTGACAATGGCTGCCCAAACTATGGCTGAAGGCCTGGCCATATACTATTACTTCATTAACTCCAGTCATATTGAAGCTGAGCGGTACCATCATATTACTCAGTGCTGGAGTTGCTACTCTTACCTACACTCTACAAAAGACTGCCCCACAAAAAACAAAAAGTTCTGCTCTACCTGCGGGTCTGAAGGCCACGATTCCAAGACTTGTACTTCTACTGCCCCACTTAAGTGTCTCAACTGCAAAAACAAACACCATACTCTCGCTGCAAAGTGCCCCACTCGTCGTGAAATTCTGAGAAAATGCCAAGAAGCAGAAGAGAAGAAGACACCTTCCAAGTCACCTACTTATGCTGCCATCACCAAACTCCAGGCCGACAACAAAACTTTTAAAAGCTACCCAACCCGCCACCACTACTCCATCAGCTTATGAACCTACGAAAATTCATTACTGTATGCTATATGCACACATGCATAATATGGCGTTATCAGGCTCCTTCAACACTGTTATTAACGAGCTCTTCCGATTGAACAACATGCCAAACTTTACTTTCCCAGACTCTCCACCATCTGCCGACATTAAGCTCACCAAAGAATTAGACAGCATCACAACACCTGAAATTCCATCTCCAAGAAACAACCAATCAGCGACTTCCAACATCACCACCGCTGTGGACCAATCACCTGAGTCTTCCACCTCTGCTACTACTACTAACGAACCACCTGCTTCATCTCCAACTCAACCACCAAAAGCCAAGAAAGCTAAGACACTTCCTCCTGAAAATCCACCTCAAGATACTCGAAGACCTGAAGAAATGGGAGAGGAAACAATATTTAGACCAACTGAACCCCTCACCTTCTATACATATAACCCTCACACCCCGTCGCTATATGCACCTCAGGTCATCTATTCCATGCACCATAGTAGTATCAAGTACACTGTTGCTCCTGGATGCAATCCCCACACTGAAACTGCCCTAATTGCAGACTTAGAAAAAGACAGCAAAAGTCTGCTCAAACTTAGTTTATTATCAAAACCTGTTTTCAAAAGACTTCAAAATGGCTCTACGACAGGAACGAAAAACTAACAAAACGCAGATATGAAGAGTGTTATCCACCAATCAACGCTGACCCTCTCTCCTCTCCGCATACTTAACCAATCATATTGAAACATGCCTCCCTCTCCATCCCGCTTCCCGCCGATCTCCAGCAACCAATCGCCGACCAGATCTACAGATCAACCGCCATGATGCAGCCTGCACAGCTTGCCCACGTCGTCCACATTCTCAGCCAAGTCCTGTTCTCTCCAGCTCTATCCCACGATCGTCTCAGCTGCTGGGTTAAGCCCTGGCTCTATTTCTACAACTAGGAACACTCCTCTCCTTCGCTATTCTTCGTCTGTCCCGTCTTCCCCCCTCATCTCATTGGGATCTTACCTGAACTTGTTCGTTCGTTCAACCCATCAATTTGGGAAGGACCTACTTCCACTGGGGAATCCCGCCTACCAGTGACTATGCCCTCGTCTGCTACACATCCCTATTCACTGACGCCTGTATAAGCGCCAGTCTCCTTACCTGTGCTTCAGACTCTACAACCATGGTGCTGTAAACACCACCTCCAAGGCTGAGGGACTGATTACCTCATCTTTTGTATATAGTTCTTCTCTTTTTCTAATCATGTCCAAGAATCTGTATTGATAAAGCCACTGGATGGCGAAACGTCTACAATAAAGATAACCAGATGTTGCACAAGTGTCTTAACTTTCATCATTTCTATTGGAGGCTGGATAGAGAAGGCCTGTTTCAATGTTCATCCTCTGTAATGTGCTTTGTGTAGTATTAACAGGAGAGACAATGTGATGGCAGAGTTTACTGTTTTCAAAAGGATTCTTGCTAAGACTTCAGAGATGGTGAAGCTGCCTTTGTTTTGTTTAATTGTATTAGAAACAGCTATTAGTGCTGATTCGAGGCACTTGCGTCTGCGGAAATTAGTTTCTTTGATCACTAATTGGGCGTCCCTGAATTTCATGAGATGATTGGTGGAATTTCGGTGTTGTACACAGGCGTTGTTCAAGTTATCGTTCCTACATGCGTAAATGTGCTCTGCCATCACATAGTCTCTCCTGTTAATACTACACAAAGCACATTACAGAGGATGAACATTGAAACAGACCTTCTCTATCCAGCCTCCAATAGAAATATTTGTTATGTTACCCAAGTTATAGCTTTTATATCCTTTTACTCATGTGTGAGTTAATTGTTCTAACATATTGTATTACTACTACAAGTTATATCACTGTTACTATCACTAGTATTACATCTCACTCTGAGCCTATATATACCCTAGTTTAATAGTTTAATATGTTTATTATGCACCCCATACCCATCCTGTGGGCGGTAGTCAAAAGATTACAGAAGTACATAATTGGTCCAGGGACTGAACTCCAAAGTTTTGATAGCTGAGCAAGTTACAAAGGTAATGAACTAGATCTGGTCATAATCATGACCAAGTTACAAAGGTAATGAGCTCCAGGTTGAGCTGGTCACACTCATGAATAATTGCAAAGGTAATGAATCATAAACACATTAATCATGAGAATTTACAAAGGTAATGAGCTCCAGGTAGAGCTGGTCACAATCATGACAAGTTTCAAAGGTAATGAATGATAAACACGTTATGACATGATTACAATCATAGACAAATTACAGAGTAATGAGCAGTTAACAAACATAGCAGGGAATTCATCCATTGCCCCAACAACAGATGTTGCTAGGTGCCTGTCTCTCCTCGGCAGACAGCCATTGCAAACAGCAGCAAGTTGCCCAGGGATCTGCTGCTTGCACGAGCGCCATCGACCCTCCCCAAGAGGTCCAAGAAGCCAGTGACTCCGTTAGCAGCCCGATGGAGAGCTGTTCTAGGGACATGTCAGCGTCCTGGTGGACGCCAAGTTGACTGAAGATCCCAGGCCCTCGTGTGCACGGATGTTGAAGCTTGAGGAACTGAGTACACACTGCCTGTGGCACACCTGGCAGCTGCCTCGCGGTCGAACTCCACGATGCTGTCCCTGTAGTGGAAGTTCCTGTGAGCCCGGCACTCCCTGCAGTGCCATCGCTGACATCGTGGGTTAGGGGAGAAGTACCCTCTAAAGATGGGGTGGCGCTGGGAGTTGGGTGGGTGAGGCGGGGGAGACGGCAGGGGTGAGGCGTTGTGAGAGGGTCACTGTTTACTACACACCCCCTCCCCCCCCAGCGGAGAGGGGGGGAAGCGCTGACTGGTCCTGATTCAACAACACCAAATAATCTAAAACTGCACAACACTTCAACTATTTACGCTGAAACGATGCACTGGGATGTCCGTTCGATGCTCTGGTATCTTCTCAAAGCATTCACACTGAGTTCTGTTAAGTAGGGACCTGGTCATCCTCTTTGACCAGGAGCTATCCTTGAAAATCCCGCAGCTAGCCCGCTACACAACCTGCCGCGTCGGCCATGCCAGCAGCTGTGTGTATATATACCCTCTGTGTCCATGTACTGTTTGTAACGGTTTGACAAAGCTCCCGGAGAGCGAAACGTTGCCACAATAATAATGTCACATTAGTTGCACTTGTGTCCTTTTACTTTACATATTGCCGGTAATTCTACCAACTTTATTACAAAGTACATTATGTCTGCGTATAGCAGTTGAGGTCCCGTATGTCCATACAAACCAGCTCGATGTATGTCTTGCAGTAATGTTGGAATAATAGAAATTAGTGACAGAAACTCAACTGCATTGTATAATTTTAGCATGTCGCTAGAGTATAGTGAGAGTATAATGTTTTGTGGGTGGCGCAGGTGGAGACGATGAGGGGCACCCAGGTGTGGCACTCTACCATCAAGGCATCTTCTTGGTGGGGTTGGTCTCCACGGGCACCATGTACTGGAAGGAGATGGTAGTGGGTGCCGTCTACAACGACACCTGGACCAACATTGCCTTGCGGTGGGATCCTGTCAACGGCCTCGAGGTAAATCTTCTTTGATTCTGTCCGCCTTTTCTTGTGTCACTCATTATCGAATATGATAAATAATGGAAAACGGGAGACGTGCACTCAAAAACAATCGTATTAGAAGAATACTCAGTTGCTGCTGAGTGCGAGGATCTAACCTCACGATTTATGATTCCAGATCAACTATCATTTCTCAAATGCATTTACAGATATATATATTTTTAGATTATGTGGATTATTATGTGGATTTACTCATAGATGTGTTCTCTAATATAACGCTGCTCCCCCTCCCCCCCAGTGTATTCATCACTCACTTGCTAAATTAGACACATGGAGAACGCTTGCTCTTCTTTATTGAGGAAACGTTTCGCCACACAGTGGCTTCATCAGTCCATTACAAAGGAGAATGGTTGAATCTCAGAAGGAGTTTGTGATAATCAGTCCCTCGGCCCGGAGTCGATGTGTTCAGTCCATCACTGATGGACTATTTACATCGACTCCAGGCTAACGGACTGATTATCACAAAGTCCTTCTGAGGTTCAACCATTCTCCTTTGTGATGAATGGTTTGAAAAACCGACAAATTGAAGATTGAGACACTTATGCAGCATACGGGAATCTTTATTCAGGAAACGTTTCGCCACACAGTGGCTTCATCAGTCCAATACAAAGAGGAAGGCGTAAGGAGAGGAGGAGTATGAGGTAATCAGTCCCTCAGCCTGGAGTCGATGGGACTGATTACCTCATACTCCTCCTCTCCTTACGCCTTCCTCTTTGTATTGGACTGATGAAGCCACTGTGTGGCGAAACGTTTCCTCAATAAAAATATCCAAGTATAGCAAATGTGTATAATTTATTAACTTGTTGGTTCTGTGAACAATTTATGTACACCGGTGACCTGCCTACTGTGTTCTCAGGGTATGATCAACGACAGGAGAGTGTTCTACAGGCAGTATGGTGTGAACTGCACAAGGCTGCCGCCCCTGAACCCCCCAGAGATCATGATCGGATGCCACAAAGACTCCAACAACACCGTGTACCGCGACTTTAACACGGCAGACCTTGACGAACTAGCCATCTGGCAGAAGCGACTCCCTGACAACAACACCGTCTTCTTTCTCGGTGGCTTTGGTTAGAGATGATAAGGAATTTGTTGCCATTCAAAGTAAACTTTCGTTAAGTGATTATTTTTTACACAAATCAATTTTACAGGCTAAGAATTGTTATCCTATTTCCGCTCATTTCAAAGTCCAGCGTTATTAAGAGTAAACTACCCCCCAGGATGCGACCCACAACAGTCGGTAAGCACCCAGGTACCTACCTACTTACTGCTAGGTGAACAGGAACAGCAGGTGTCTTAAGGTAACATGCCCAACGTATCCACTCACATCGGGGATCGAACCACCGGACATTCAATGTGTGAGATGGCTCCTACCACTTGTTAAGCCTTTTCAGACGTAACACACAAGCGGCTACTTGTTCCCACATCAAGTAATTCCTCACAACCAAACATTTAACTTTTTTTTTCATTAATATATTCCCCTTACAAGGATTTATTTAGTCATCTACCGAGTGGCTGTTGACACTCGAAGATCTGTCAATATTCTTATTACGTCAGCAAATATTTAACTCTTCCTTTCTATCATAAATTCTGACACTCGGGACTCTATTTTTATGTAAAAACAAAGATTTTAACTTTGCAATTTAACTGGTTAGTTTTATAGATAAATTAAGGACCCCCATACCCATCCTGGGTGTGGGAGTTGCACCATACCCATCCTGGGTGTGGGAGTTGCACCATACCCATCCTGGGTGTGGGAGTTGCACCATACCCATCCTGGGTGTGGGAGTTGCACCATACCCATCCTGGGTGTTGGAGTTGCACCATACCCATCCTGTGTGTGGGAGTTACATCATACCCATCCTGTGTGTGGGAGTTACATCATACCCATCCTGTGTGTGGGAGTTGCACCATACCCATCCTCGGTGTGGGAGTTACACCATACCCATCCTGTGTGTGGGAGTTACATCATACCCACCCTGTGTGTGGGAGTTACATCATACCCATCCTGGGTGTGGGAGTTGCACCATACCCATCCTGGGTGTGGGAGTTGCACCATACCCATCCTGGGTGTGGGAGTTGCACCATACCCATCCTGGGTGTGGGAGTTGCACCATACCCATCCTGTGTGTGGGAGTTACATCATACCCATCCTGTGTGTGGGAGTTACATCATACCCATCCTGTGTGTGGGAGTTGCACCATACCCATCCTGGGTGTGGGAGTTACACCATACCCATCCTGTGTGTGGAGTTACATCATACCATCCTGTGTGTGGGAGTTACATCATACCCATCCTGGGTGTGGGAGTTGCACCATACCCATCCTGGGTGTGAGAGTTGCACCATGCTCATCCTGGGTGTGGGAGTTGCACCATACCCATCCTGGGTGTGGGAGTTGCACCATACCCATCCTGGGTGTGGGAGTTGCACCATACCCATCCTGGGTGTGGGAGTTGCACCATACCCATCCTGTGTGTGGGAGTTACTCCATACCCATCCTGTGTGTGGGAGTTACATCATACCCATCCTGTGTGTGGGAGTTACATCATACCCATCCTGTGTGTGGGAGTTACATCATACCCATCCTGTGTGTGGGAGTTACATCATACCCATCCTGTGTGTGGGAGTTACATCATACCCATTCTGTGCGTGGGAGTTACATCATACCCATCCTGTGTGTGGGAGTTACACCATACCCATCATGTGTGTGGGAGTTACATCATACCCATCCTGTGTGTGGGTGTTACATCATACCCATCCTGTGTGTGGGAGTTACATCATACCCATCCTGTGTGTGGGAGTTACATCATACCCATCCTGTGTGTGGGAGTTACATCATACCCATCCTGTGTGTGGGAGTTACATCATACCCATCCTGTGTGTGGGAGTTACATCATACCCATCCTGTGTGTGGGAGTTACACCATACCCATCCTGTGTGTGTGGAAGTTACACCCTACCCATCCTGAGTGTGGGAGCTACATCATACCCATCCTGTGTGTGGGAGTTACATCATACCCATCCTGTGTGTGGGAGTTACATCATACCCATCCTGTGTGTGGGAGTTACATCATACCCATCCTGTGCGTGGGAGTTACATCATACCCATCCTGTGTGTGGGAGTTACACCATACCCATCCTGTGTGTGGAAGTTACACCCTACCCATCCTGAGTGTGGGAGCTACATCATACCCATCCTGAGTGTTGGAGTTACATCATACCCATCCTGTGTGTGGGAGTTACATCATACCCATCCTGTGTGTGGGAGTTACATCATACCTATCCTGTGTGTGGGAGTTACATCATACCCATCCTGTGTGTGGGAGTTACATCATACCCATCCTGTGTGTGGGAGTTACACCATACCCATCCTGAGTGTGGGAGTTACATCATACCCATCCTGTGTGTGGGAGTTACATCATACCCATCCTGTGTGTGGGTGTCAAAAAGGATGACAGAGGCACATTTGGTCTAAGGACTGAAGGTTTAACTATCTCTTTAGGTAGACCCTCACATTTAATTATTTTTTTTGGTTAACAGAGGAAGATGCAAAAAATCTGAATCCAGCTAAGCTTGACAGGATCCTGGATGGTGTTGACTTGACCGACCCGCAGCAACAGATACAAGCAATAAGTGCTCTGGTGGCCATGACAGATCCTCACAACATTCAACCTGTCAACGCCTCTGTCAACGCTTCTAGTGGTACTGGTACTGTGTTGTTTCTCACAAAATCCTAAACCTGTGGGGATCACTCAGCGCCATGACCGGTGGAGGCTCGATCATCCGTCCGCATATATAAACTAGTTAACAGGTTTTATATATTTAAAAAGAGAAGCATGTCAGACAATATATAATTAATATGATTTTTTAAAGTGGTTTTCCTACCTACCTGGATGTCAAGAAGGGAGGTAGGGAATGATGTCAGAAAGGTAGGAAATGATGTCAGGAAAGGAAGTTCTGAATGATATCAGGAAGGGAGGTTGAAAATGATGTCAGGGAGGTACGGAATATCAGGGACGTTGAGAGAGGCGTCAGGAAATGAGGTAGGGAATGATGTCAGGGAGACGGAATGATGTCAGGAAGGGAGGTTAAGGAAGAATAGTACTACGCAGGTTTAAAGATGTTTCTTATTTTAAGACTTTTATTAATGAGACATCACCCCGCACCCTCCAACTCCCCTCCCCCACAACCACCACCACAACACTAGTGTAGCAGGCATATGGTAAACAAAATGAAATTTTTCAGGAGTGTCGGCGAGTCAGTTGGAAAGCTTCAGCACGACACTGGGTCTTGTACAGCGGCTGGCTGACCCTAGCAGTGTTCCTAAGTGTATCAACATTAATGACGCCCCCAAGTCTCTGGTGAGTGTTTCAATCTCTGCTTTATTACGTGTATCAACCTTAATGACGCTCCGTCAATTGATGACTTTATCAAGTGAGAACTTTATCAAATGATGACTTAGCAAAGTTCTTCACAGATAGAAACAAGGCCTCCATAATATCTTGTTGAGCAATGTGTGTTCCTGCCCCCTCCCCAGAGAACACCATCTGGATCCCACCAGTCAACAATAAGAGACAAACTCACTTGAAATCAAAGGCGATTGTATATTTCGGTCTTTAACTAAGGTCCTCTTCAGAGGTACTGAAGAGGGCCTTAGTTATGCTACGAAATATACAACCACATTTTTTATTTCTTTACTTTTTCCTCTATGTTCTCCGTTTCCTTGTTTACGTTACTTATTAGCGTTTATAATCACGTGTGTCCTTTTGTTCCAGTTTTGTACCTCTGAGTCTTTTCTAGGTAGCCTTTTCAGACCTTGTAAAAACTGTGTAAGTTACGGCCATGTCCTCCCTGGTCTTCATATTGTGTAAATGAGAGTGGGTGTAGAAGCATGTTCAGAAGAGTTCTTTTCAAAGTGACTATTTATAGTTACAACAGCAGAGTAGTGTTGGTGGTGTTCCAGTCTTCACTGTTTGTAGTTACAGCAGCAGAGTAGTATTGGTGGTGTTCCAGTCTTCACTTTTTGTAATTAAAGCAGCAGAGTAGTGTTGGTGGTGTTCCAGTCTTAAGTGCGTGTATTTATAGCAGCAGAGTAGTGTTGGCGGTGTTCCAGTCTTCAGCGTTTGTAGTTACAGGAGCAGAGTAGTGTTGGTGGTGTTCCTGTCTTCAGTGTTTGTAGTTACAGCAGCAGAGTAGTATTGGCGGTGTTCCAGACTTCAGTGTTCGTAGTTACAGCAGCAGAGTAGTGTTGGTCTTGTTCCAGTCTTCACTGTTTATAGTTACAGCAGCAGAGTAGTGTTGGTGGTGTTATATTCTTCATTGTAGTTACAGCAGCAGAGTAGCGTTGGTGGTGTTCCAGTCTTCACTGTTTATAGTTACAGCAGCAGAGTAGTTTGGTGGGTTTCCAGTCTCACTAACTGTAGTTTACAGCAGAAGAGTAGTGCTGGTGGTGTTCCAGTCTTCACTGTTTATAGTTACAGCAGCAGAGTAGTGTTGGTGGTGTTCCGTTCTTCAGTGCTGTGGTTACAGCACCAGAGTATGTGTTAGTGGTGTTCCAGTCATCAGTGTTTGCATTTACAGCAGCAGAGTAGTGTTGGTAGTGTTCCAGTCTTCTGTGTTTGCAATTACAGCAGCAGAGTAGTATTGGCGGTGTTCCAGTCTTCACTTTTTGTAATTAAAGCAGCAGAGTAGTGTTTGGTGGTGTTCCAGTCTTCACTTTTTGTAATTAAAGCAGAAGAGTAGTGTTGTGGTGTTCCAGTCTCACTAACTGTAGTTACAGCAGCCGAGTAGTGTTGGTGTGTGTTCCAGTCTTCACTATTTGTAGTTACAGCAGCAGAGTAGTGTTCGTGGTGTTCGAGTCTTCACTAACTGTAGTTTACAGCAGAAGAGTAGTGCTGGTGGTGTTCCAGTCTTAAGTGTGTGTATTTATAGCAGCAGAGTAGTGTGGTGGTGTTCCAGTCTCACTAACTGTAGTTACAGCAGAAGAGTAGTGCTGGTGGTGTTCCAGTCTTCACTGTTTGTAGTTACGCAGCAGAGTAGCGTTGGTGGTGTTCCAGTTTTAAGTGTGTGTATTTATAGCAGCAGAGTAGTGTTGGTGGTGTTCCAGTCTCACTAACTGTAGTTACAGCAGAAGAGTAGTGCTGGTGGTGTTCCAGTCTTAAGTGTGTGTATTTAAGCAGCAGAGTAGTGTTGGTCTTGTTCCAGTCTTCACTGTTTGTATTTACAACAGCAGAGTAGTGCTGGTGGTGTTCCAGTCTTAAGTGTGTGTATTTATAGCAGCAGAGTAGTGTTGGTGGTGTTCCAGTCTTCAGTGTTTGTATTTACAACAGCAGAGTAGTGTTGGTGGTGTTCCAGTCTTAAGTGTGTGTATTTATAGCAGCAGAGTAGTGTTTGGTCTTGTTCCAGTCTTCACTGTTTGTAGTTACAGCAGCAGAGTAGTGTTGGTGGTTCCAGTCTCACTAACTGTAGTTACAGCAGCAGAGTAGCGTTGGTGGTGTTCCAGTCTTCACTGTTTGTAGTTACAACAGCAGAGTAGTGTTGGTGGTGTTCCAGTCTCACTAACTGTAGTTACAGCAGAAGAGTAGTGCTGGTGGTGTTCCAGTCTTAAGTGTGTGTATTTATAGCAGCAGAGTAGTGTTGGGTGTGTCCAGTCTTCACTGTTTGTAGTTACAGCAGCAGAGTAGTGTTGGTGGTGTTCCGGGCTTCAGTGCTTGTGTACAGCACAGAGTAGTGTTGGTGGTGTTCCAGTCATCAGTGTTTGCATTTACAGCAGCAGAGTAGTGTTGGTGGTGTTCCAGTCTTCTGTGTTTGTATTACAGCAGCAGAGTAGTGTTGGTGGTGTTTTCCCGTCTTCTGTGTTTTGTAATTACAACAGCAGAGTAGTATTGGCGGTGTTCCAGTCTTAAGTGTGTGTATTTATAGCAGCAGAGTAGTGTTGGTGGTGTTCCAGTCTTCACTGTTTGTAGTTACAACAGCAGAGTAGTGTTGGTGGTGTTCCAGTCTCACTAACTGTAGTTACAGCAGCAGAGTAGTGTTGGTGGTGTTCCAGTCTTCACTGTTTGTAGTTACAGCAGCAGAGTAGTGTTGGTGGTGTTCCAGTCTTCAGTGTTTGTAGTTACAGCAGCAGAGTAGTGTTGGTGGTGTCCGGCTTCAGTGTTTGTAGTTACAGCAGCAGAGTAGTGTGATGGTGTTCCAGCTTCAGTGTTTTGTAGTTACAGCAGCAGAGTAGTGTTGGTGGTGTTCCAGTCTTCAGTGTTTGTAGTTACAGCAGCAGAGTAGTGTTGTGGTGTTCCGGCTTCAGTGTTTGTAGTTACAGCAGCAGAGTAGTGTTGATGGTGTTCCAGTCTTCAGTGTTTGTAGTTAACAGCAGAGTAGTGTTGGTGGTGTTTCCGGGCTTCAGTGCTTGTGGTTACAGCAGCAGAGTAGTGTTGGTGGTGTTCCAGTCTTCAGTGTTTGTAGTTACAGCAGCAGAGTAGTGTTGGTGGTGTTCCAGTCTTCAGTGTTTGTAGTTACAGCAGCAGAGTAGTGTTGATGGTGTTCCAGTCTTCTGCGTTTGTAATTACAGCAGCAGAGTAGTATTGGCGGTGTTCCAGTGCTCACTTTTTGTAATTAAAGCAGAAGAGTAGTGTTGGTGGTGTTCCAGTCTTAAGTGTTTGTAGTTACAGCAGCAGAGTAGTGTGGTGGTGTTCCAGTCTTCACTTTTTGTAATTAAAGCAGAAGAGTAGTGTTGGTGGTGTTCCAGTCTTAAGTGTTTGTAGTTACAGCAGCAGAGTAGTGTTGGTGGTGTTCCAGTCTTAAGTGTTTGTAGTTACAGCAGCAGAGTAGTGTTGGTGGTGTTCCAGTCTTCACTGTTTGTATTTAAAGCAGCAGAGTAGTGTTGGTCTTGTTTCCAGTCTTCACTGTTTATAGTTACAGCAGCAGAGTAGTGTTGGTGGTGTTTATATTCTTCATTGTAGTTACAGCAGCAGAGTAGCGTTGGTGGGTGTTCCAGTCTTCACTGTTTGTAGTTACAACAGCAAGTAGTGTTGGTGGTGTTCCAGTCTCACTAACTGTAGTTACAGCCAGCAGAGTAGCGTTGGGGGTGTTTCCCGTCTTCCACTGTTTGTATTACAACAGCAGAGTAGTGTTGGGGGTGTTCCAGTCTCACTAACTGTAGTTACAGCAGAAGATAGTGCTGGTGGTGTTCCAGTCTTAAGTTGTGTATTTATAGCAGCAGAGTATGTTGGTGGTGTTCCAGTCTTCACCCGTTTGTAGTTACAGCAGCAGAGTAGTGTTGGTGGTGTTCCGGGCTTCAGTGCTTGTGGTTACAGCAGCAGAGTAGTGTTGGTGGTGTTCCAGTCATCAGTGTTTGCATTTACAGCAACAAAATAGTGTTGGTGGTGTTCCAGTCTTCTGTGTTTGTATTTACAGCAGCAGAGTAGTGTTGGTGGTGTTCCAGTCTTCTGTGTTTGTAATTACAGCAACAAAGTAGTGTTGGTGGTGTTCCCGTCATCAGTGTTTGCATTTACAGCAGCAGAGTAGTGTTGGTGGTGTTCCAGTCTTCTGTGTTTGTATTTACAGCAGCAGAGTAGTGTTGGTGGTGTTCCAGTCTTCTTTTGTTTGTATTTACAGCAGCAGAGTAGTGTTGGTGGTGTTCCAGTCTTCTGTGTTTGTAGTTACAGCAGCAGAGTAGTGTTGGTGGTGTTCCAGTCTTCTGTGTTTGTAATTACAGCAGCAGAGTAGTGTTGGTGGTGTTCCAGTGTTCAGTGTTTGTATTTTACAGCAGCAGAGTAGTTTTGGTGGTGTTCCAGTTAGATTAGATTTTTAGATTTTTGCCACCGAAGTGGCTAGTTTATTGTCCAGTCGTCAGTGTCGGTCACACACTTTTTTTAAGATGTAAAGTCAATATAGCACGTATTACCTTTTGTATACCTTTCCAGTATTCCACTCTATATATGTATGCTTTTTACGATATGTATCCTGGTCAATGTTGCATCTTGCAGGGTCTAGTGGCAGCCCTCAGCAATCTCATGGACACCAGCAGGAAGCAAGAGTGGGAAGCTTACCAGGCACAGACAGGCCAAGATCCACTTTACTATTGCAAAGTACTAGAACCTTACTTAATGGCAGTTGCTGAGGCTCTGTCTTGCAACAATGGCACCACTAGGATGGGTGTCCACATAACCGTGGAACATGCACGTAAGTCAGCCCAGATATCCTTCAAAACTATCATCCTTTTATTACGTTATCAATGTCTGTTGTAAAACTAACGTTTTCACGACGTTTTGTTTTCACAAGTAATGAGAAAGACAGGAAAACCGTCCAGTGTGATGGAGTATGACAGGAAAACCGTCCAGTGTTGTGGAGGGTGACAGGAAAAATCATCCAGTGTGATGGAGTATGTTATTATTATTATTAATATTTATATTCATGGGGAAGCACTGAACATGTTTGGATTCTGCAGCGCCTGTTGAATGAGAGGCAAACTGGTATGATTTTTTATCTTCCCTCAGTGTTTTTGTTGTTTCTTACTTTGCATTCTTGTTCTTCAGATCTGCAGCTGGACAAGTTATCAATCGATGACTTGAGTTCTATGGACAACGGGTTTACATCACCTGTGTATACCCAGCAATCTTACCTCAGTGAATCCTGGGGTCAACCCAGAGAGAAGGTGCAAGGTATGTAATCATAACTTACGTGTTCCTTGTGTGTTCATTCATCTGGATTCCTTGATCAGACACGAGACTTTGCTGTAAGATGCGCCGTTCGTTGGTGAGGAACCTATAAATGTGTGTGTAGGGTAGCTGATGGGCCTATATTGTGGGCCATGACAGCGCCAACCACTTGTTTAAAGGTGCTTGACTCAGTTTTATCTGTGCCTCCTGAGCGGCTAGTTTATTATGCATCATAGCTAATGATGTGAGCGGTAACGCAAAAATTAGGATTACAGATGTCACAATGGGTTTTTGTCAGACCCCACTGAGCATTGTTACATCACTAGAAAGAAATATTAGTTATTTCATATTTTACAATTATTTCATTTAGACAGCATTAGCAATGAGGTGTTCTGCCATATCCTGTAAGGTTTGCATGGAGATCTCTCTGGAAGGTTGGATCTTTGGCCACTAAGATATAACGTTCCGGTGTATGGTCCTGTCTCTGTCCACACACTTTGCATTATAAGTCACTGACATCTCCATACAAACCATACTGCCAGTGATATTCTACCAGTAACAACAGTACTGCCAGAAATACTCGTAGCCTAGCCTTAGTTTAGCAGTAACTAGCAGTACTAATTTCTCTAACTTTATACTTATTTCCATTGATATGCTCAACTACTCGATAAGGACCAACAAACTTCTGATCAAGCTTAGGCATTGCAGACGTTTTGTTAAAGTTAATCAACATAACTCTCGAACCTACTATAATTTTGGACGGCTTTGCTCGAGTATTAGTGACTCTTGTAAATTCTACTGTTGATTTATGAAGTGCTTCACGGATTCTTCTAAAAACACTTTGAGCTAAGCTGGTACGAGTTGTTATGAAATCATCAGGGTGGTAATTTGGCTTTGGATTAGAATATAACAACTCAATAAGGCAAACGCTTATCTACACCATACAATGCATAATGTGGAGTGCCACCTATAGAAACATTGTAAGCTGAATTTATTACACACTGAACATCAGGTATAATTTCATCCCAAGTTTCACTGTTGGGGTTGATAGTGGCTCTCAAGACATCAAGTACTCTCTTATTCGTTCGTTCCGCTAACCCATTACTGGCAGGATGATGAGAAACAATGGTGGATTTAGAGATCTTGTACAAGGTACACAAATTTTCAAGAATCTCATTACAGAATTCACCTCCATTATCTGTTACTAGGGACTTAGGAGTGGTATACCTGCAGATAATGCGTTCTTTAAATGCTGTAGCTACTGTCTCGGCAGTCTTATCTGCAATAGGAACTAACTCACAATATCTGGTGAAATGATCTATCATAACACACAGATATTTGCTGCCCTGAAAGGAACATTGGAAATTAGTTAACAGATCTAGCTCAACTCTTTCCCATGGTTTGCTAGTAGTTGGATTAGGATGATTAACATTGTCTTTCTGTAGCATGCAGACACTACATTTCTTAACATACTCAGATTGAAATACTTTTGGCCATACGAGGCCAAAAGTATTTCAATCTGGCTTGTTTTACAGAACGATCCATACCAGGGTGTGCAACACCTGGCACATCGTGAACTAGCTATAAGGCTACATTCACTAGTGACTGTGGAATTACTAACTGGTATACCCGTCTGCTAGGAGTACCTAGCTCGGCTGTGTGACACAGTAATTCTTGGTTCATGACAAAGTCACTGATGAGTGCTGGTGACTTCACAGTCAGAATAAGAACTTCCTGGAGCAGGAATCGAATCACACCAGACCACATGGGATCTGTTCTTTGAGCATTCTTTACGTCCTCGGCAGTTAAATGGAGGGTCTGCAGTTACTATACTAACATGACGCGATATAGCATCTGCGACTACATTTGACTTGCCAGGTAAGTGTTCAAAGGTAGGGTTGAACTCTTGGATTGTCAAGGTCCAACTGGCTAACCTTCCAATAGGTTGTTTGTTCTGGAATAAAGATATCATTGGAGTATGGTCTGTCAAGACATCAACAGAATCAGAAGTGCTTTAAAGACCATTCTATTGCTAAGGCTTCTTGCTCAGTTACTGTATAATTACGTTCAGCCTTCGTAAGGACTCGGCTAGCAAATGCAACTGCGTTGTACTTGTTATCGGTCTTCTGAGCTAGTACGGCACCAATGCCAATTGAACTAGCATATCAGTTGTCAGATAGAAAGACTTAGAAAAATCTGGAAATTTCAAAATTGGAGCAGATGTTAGCTTTTCTTTAAGAGTTTGGAATGCTCGTTCTTGAGGGAAGGTCCAAACGAGAGGAGCATCTTTCTTAAGCAACTCAGTTAGAGGAGCAGCTATGGAAGAAAAATTAGCAGTGAAAGATCTATAAACCTGCTAAACCCACAAAGGATCTTACGGCATCAGCAGTTTTGGGAGATGGAAAATTTAATACTGCAGTTACTTCACTTTGGTCAGTTGTAACCCCTCTAGGAGTGACTACGTGACCAAGAAACTTGATTTCTGATCTGAAAAATTGACATTTAGACAGTTTGATCTTTAAATTGGCTTCTTCAAGTTTACCAAGTACTACATCAAATCTTTTCAAGTGCATATTCACGTCTTCTGACACGACAGTCACATCATATAAGTACACCATAAGTGTGTTACCTATGAAGCCTCTAAAGATATTAGTCACGAGCCTCAAGAATGTGATAGGCGAAGATCGCAAACTGAAAGCCATACTGAGGAAGTGATAATGACCTGTAGGAGTGGAAAATGCGGTTAGCTCTTGGCTGTCCTCGTATAGAGGGACTTGCCAAAACCCTTGTAACAAGTCCAGGGTCGAAAAGACTTTGTTATCTCCTGTGTTATATAAAAGGTCACCAAGTACAGGAAGTGAGAAGCGATCTGGAATTTTTTTCGCATTTAACTTCATAAAGTCAATCACTGGGAGCCAAGTACCGTCCTTCTTAGGTACTAGGATCAAGGGCGCATTCCTGGGTGAATTACTAGGTGCAATAACACCATCATCAAGCATCTGACTGATCAATTCTTCTGCGACAGCTACTTGTGAATGAGGCATTCTGTACGCAGGTATATAAATAAGTCTGGTACCAGGTTCAAGTGGGATACGATGGGACAACAAATTCGTTATACCCATCTTCTCACATGGTAAAGCAATGGCTTTACAACGTTTGTTCAACAGATTCAGCAAACACTTGACCTCGTCCGGGAAGTCAGTGGGAGCTCAGTGCCCGTCCCGGTATTACTGTATTGCTGTGTTTCAGTGACCGTCCCAATGTTACTATGTTTCAGTTACCGTCCCGGTGTTACTATGTTTCAGTGACTGTCCTGGTGTTACTGTGTTTCAGTTACCGTCCCGGTGTTACTTACTATATTTCTGTGTTTCAGTAACCGGTGATATATTCGCTGACCGTCGCTGCCTACAACGACCAATCAACATCATAACAATGTTATACGAGAACACCCATAACGTCCTGCAGGTTCCACTCAAAGTGAACGTAGAGTAAGTCTCACATTTATATTCATTTTCTTAGACTTACGAGGCGCCTGAGTTTCCCTGTCTCCCAATATCATGTTTATTTATCCACTATAATCTACCTTGTCCATAATTACTGTCGCATTTGCTTTGTCTGCTTTCCTAAGATGAAGTTTATGATCTTTCCTTAATTCATAGTATAACTTAACAGCAGCTCAGACCTCTACAACACATTTGTCCATCAGGCTAAGTTTGCATTTAGTCTGGTCTACATCTGGTTGTAGTGATTTAACCTGCCAGAGATACTCAAAGAATCTGCTTAACCAGCATATCGAACGACGGGTCACCATCTGGAGAAGACCCGGGCCGGAAGTACCGGCAAATCTCTAATGAATGAAGCATATCGAAGCTAGGCTCTCCATCTAAAAACAAAACAAAAAAAATACGGATGATCACTACTTACCAGATTCCTAAGTGCGTTTCAGATCCTGGATAAAAGTTAGTTTATAACATCCAGCCTGTTTAAGGAAAAAAAAAGAGATGGTAACTCATTCAGCTTATTCCACAGCTTTTATTTGAGAGAGAGAGAGAGAGAGAGAGAGAGAGAGAGAGAGAGAGAGAGAGAGAGAGAGAGAGGAGAGAGAGAGAGAGAGAGAGAGAGAGAGAGAGAGAAAGAAAATCTCCTCTGCTCTCTCGCTGATAGCTGAACAAGGTACAAAGGTAATGAACTCGCAAGTTACAAAGGGGCCCAGTTCCTGGACCCATAATGTACCTCTATAATCTGTTGACTCCCACCCACAGGATGGGTCTGGGGTGCATAATAAACATTAAACTAATTAACTAACTTTCTCGCTGAGCTCATGTGAATTAGGTGAGCAGAGTTAGTTAGCTTCACTAGTAGTTAACGGACGGTGTATCCAGCCTCACCCAGTGCTTCCCAAAAATTAATAAAATAATAATAATAATGATAATAATAATAATAATTCTTATAATAATAATAATAATAATAATGAACCCCATGATAGAGACACTATAACCTTAAAACTTCCCCTCACTTCCCCTCTCAGAATACTAGACACACCAGCAGTTATTGAGCTGGACTCACGGGTGCTCGGGGTGACGCTCAACGCGGACCAGGTGCTACAGTCCAGCGGAGAAGTCAACCCCAAGATGCCCAAGTGTGAACCTGACCCCAACATGTTGAGCAGTTCACCAGTACTGGTGACGTTGATGCACCGGCATTCCCAGTTCACCATGAGAAAACCTCTCTTCCACTCGAACTCCTCCACTGATGTAAGTGTTGGTACCTTCTGGTAGTGGTGGTGGTGGTGGTTGTAGCGCTGGTGGTAGTGGGTGTGATTGTGGGTGTAATAGTGTAGTAGTGGTGGTAGTGAGTGTAGTGGGTGGAGTAGTAGTAGTGGTGGTAGCAGGTGTAGTTATGGTGATAGTGGGTGGGGTAGTGAGTGTAATAGTGGTAGTGGTGGGTGTAGTGAGTGTGGTGGTGGGTATAGTAGTGGTAGTGCGTGTATTAGTGAGGTTGTGGTAGTAGTGGGAGGGGTAGTGAGTGTAACAGTGGTAGTAGTGGGTGTAGTAGTGGTGGTAGTGGGTGTTGAAGTGGTGGTAGTGGGTGTAGTAGTGGTGGTAGTGGGTGTAGTAGTGGTGGTAGTGGGTGTTGAAGTGGTGGTAGTGGGTGTAGTAGTGGTGGTAGTGGGTGTAGTAGTGGTGGTAGTGAGTGTAGTATTGGTAGTAGTGGGTGTAGTAGTGGTGGTAGTGGGTGTTGAAGTGGTGGTAGTGGGTGTAGTAGTGGTGGTAGTGGGTGTAGTAGTGGTGATAGTGGGTGTAGTAGTGGTGGGTGTGGTAGTGGTGGTAGTGGGTGTGATAGTGGTGGCAGTGGGTGTAGTAGTGGTGGTAGTGGGTGTAGTAGTGGTAGTAGTGGGTGTAGTAGTGGGTGTAGTAGTGGTGGTAGTGGGTGTAGTAGTGGTGGTAGTGGGTGTTGTAGTGATGGTAGTGGGTGTAGTAGTGGTGGTACTGGATGTAGTAGTGGTAATAGTGGGTGTAGTAGTGGTAGTAGTGGATGTTGACCGTGTTATTGTATTCCACAATGGTGCTAGTAGTTATCAAAGCAATTGTTGTTACTACATAAGTTGAGTAATAGCTAGTTGTAGAGTGCTAGCTAGCACAAGGTATTTTAAGAGTAGTTGTAGTAGTAGTAGTAGTTGCCATAGATGTAACTGTTGCAGAAGCAGCATTCGTCAAGGGTAGTAGTAGTAGTTATGGTAGCATTAGTGGTAGTAACTATTAATATCATTACATTAATGCCGTAATTTTATGGTGAAGGTTTCCATATATCAGAAATAATGAAGTTAGCATAGCTGTGTACTATATCAATTAACTTCCATGGTAATCTGACCTAGCTTATGTTAAGCAAACCTAAAATGACCTAACTTAATTTTAACTCTTATAAATACTCTGGCCCATCTTGTGTAGCTCTGTCTGAACTCTCAGATTTAATATCCACCACCTTTTTCCCTGACCTGATTTCTGAAAGTGCATTGTCTCTTGGAGTCATGGCTTGATGATGGGCCATGACCACCCGGAACGTCGTCCAGATTTTATTAAAAAAAATCACATAGAAGAGTTATGAATTACGCTAGGCTAACTTACCTAAGGCTTAAGCTATTCTAACATTAGGGCGTGTTTCCTTAAGACACCTGCTGTCGCTTTTCACATAGCAGTAAATAGGTACCTGGGTGTTAGTCGACTGGCGTGGGTCGCATCCTGGGGACATAATTAACTTAATTTTTCCCAAAAATTCTGCGTAACCATGGGCTTTCTATTTAGAATATCATTGACGTCAGCTAGGCTTGTATACGAAGTAGAGGTAATGTACTTGTAAAACTAATAATAAAGAATAATAATTGTTATTATTCTTATATACAGATAGTAACCCGGTACTGCGTGTGGTGGAACCCAGACGTCGGTGAAGCTGGTGGATGGGACCCGTCTGGGTGTCGTATCTGGTACACTAACCCTCAGTACACCAAGTGTGCGTGTCAACAAACAGGAATGTACGCCGTCCTCAGCCAGACGATTCAAACTATGGTAATTTATTTATAAGCCCTTTACGAAAGAAAAAGTTATTGGAAAATAACTACTCTTACCATAAACATTAGATGTAAAATAAATATAAGTAGGTAAGTCAATTTTTATTGAGGCTTTGGGGTATATAATATAATTATCTGGCAATGGTCGTCAGGGCATAAAGTTGTAATGATCACAGATACAGAATGCCATTTAGATTTGACCCAGGATAACCCAGTGAAGTCAAACAAAAATGTAGAGTGTACGACTTTTTTTTCATTTATTTAATAAACTTGGGACAATAAAGCATCTTAGTGGAAGTCATAATATGGCTGTGTTCCCTCCTCAGTCAATACCAACTGAGCCATCCTGGCTGCAGACATTGAGGTATGTCTTCTACGGTCTCTCAGCTGCCTGCCTCCTCCTCTTCATCCTCGTCGTCGCCCTCTCCGGGTAAGCTAACCTTTTAACACAGCTAACCTTTTAACCTATATGAGTTAGTTGTGGGGGAAGCTAAATATCTCTTAGCCACACTAACTGAAGTAAAGCAGATTTGTCTTACCTGTTTTTGAACTCCCTGTGTGAAATCCATCTATACTTCCCCTTCCTTCCTTCCTTCATCAGTAACAGTAATCAGTAAGCAATTGATGTCTGACCTAGTCTTCCTGCAGCTTTCTTTCAATCTTTTCATTTTATATTCTCCTCAATATTTCTGTATCATCCACAAATATGAATACGTCGGAGTTCTCGTAGTCAGATCCTCTAGCATCAGTATGGGACCCAACACTGATTCTTAGAGAACTCCACTAACTACACTCTCCCATTCTGATCTTTCTTTGTTTTATGTTTCAGATATTTTCATATCCATGTTCATGCATTTATTCGTACTTCAGTTTGCTTCTCTAATTCACCAAGTTGCCATCTATGTGACGTCTAGAAATATGCAGTCCCCCCCATCCTGTTCTGGCTGAACTCTATCAATCTGGCGTGTCTTAATCTATTTCTGTTAAAATTGTGCGTTATACCATGTGTGACAACCTTGTGTTATAGTCATTGTTGCACCCACTTTGTAGCAATGTCTATGTATGATGTAAATAATAAAATCAGTTGAACCCCCTTGATTATAATATGTATGATGTAACATCAAGTAAGAACCAAGTAACACCTGGATTAATAAGTATGATGTGGAGTAACAAGAATGAGGTAGAGTAGCAGGTATAAGATGAAATAATAAGTACCGTATTTTCCACCATATAAGGTGCACTTTCTTTTCACAAAAAGTCTTGGAACATCACTTTGCGCCTTATAAACTCCAGGTCAGGGTAGGCTTTGGGTTACGCTTTAGCGTAGTCATCAGCCCTTGAATATGATTACAATTTTTTTTTTTTACACAGGGTTTGACAAGGTTAAGGATCCCTAGCTTTATTGACAAGCTATTTACAGGTTAAGGATTCCTAACTTTATTGACAAGCTAAGATTTACCATTATGATATTTATGTCGCCTTATATGCCGGAAAATACGGTATGAAATGCAGTAACAAACTGAAAGTAATACTAGCGTGTTGTACAGGGAATTGAAGGAGCAGTTCCACTTAATGGGTGTGACTCTAGCTTTGGTGCTGCTGGCTGGCAGTGTCTTTATGGTGCTGACTGACCTAAACTCTGTAAGGGACACTAGACACATGTGTACAGCCGTCGGTACCCTACTCCACTTCCTGTACCTGTGTGCTGGAGCCTACGTAGCTATGATCGGCCATGCTACCTTCGACTGTGTCACTTCAGGTCAGTTTGCAAGTATGAATGATTTTTTTAGAGAACTGGCCACTGTGTAAACATGTTTGCGTAGCCAGAGGATCAAAATGAAAGAACAACTATTGTATAGATTGTTTACTGCATCATTGCTTACTTGTTTATATTGTCAATGATAATTGATATCCATGATAACTAATCCACGGTAACTTGGTAAACAGGCATCATAGGTGGCCGGCTGCAGGCGTACGGGTGTGTGGGCGTGGGTCTAACACTTATCTCCGTGGGGTGCGCCTACACATTCTTCCTCCAAGACCTGGGAAATGATCCTCGCTGCTTCATATCATGGAGCAACTTTCCCAAGCTGCTATTCTTCAGCCCACAAGTGGCATTCTGCTGCGTTGGCCTCTTCTGTGCCATCGTCATTTTCTTCAACCTGCACACTGCTTCCCTTAGGTTAGCTTTCACTCCCCCCGCCCGGAGATACTACACTTGATTATTATAGACACACACTTAAGTGTTTGCTTTATCCAGATGTATAGAAATCCAACTGTTGTTGATACAAAATAACTCGGCATTTACTGTAATTATCAATAACTCCTTAAAAAGGTAATCAAAACTTTTACCCTTGAATTTTCTAGGAACAACCCATCCATTACCGACTACCGCACCTTCAGTCTAGGAGCGTCCTTGTTTGCCGTCTACTTCTCGCTGACCTGGAGTATTGGTGTGGTGTCCTACCTTCACCTCGACTTACAGATAGACTTCTATCCCTACTTTCAAATCCTAAATGGCTTGATGGTAAGTTTAATTTTAAGGTTTACCTGGAGAGGGTTTCGGGCGTCAACGCCTCCGCGGCTCGGTCTGAGACTAGGCCTCGTGGTGGATCAGGGTCTGATCAATCAGGCTGTTACTGTTGGCCGCACGCAAACTGACGTACGAACCACAGCCCGGTTGGTCAGGTACTGACTTAGGTGCCGTCCAAGGGTGGTGCGACCTTTTTGATTGGAAATTCAACTTGCATTTAAAATATTAGCATAAGCTTTGATTAAATTTTTAAAGTAACGAATTTAATTGAAAATGCCAGTAATGAGGATTGATGTAAATAAACGGATTAGAAAACAGGACAAGTTGATAAATGAGACGCTTGTGCAACATTTGGGGGTATCTTTATTCAGGACACGTTTCGCCATCCAGTGGCTTCTTTAGTCCAATGCAGAGATTAGGTGGAAAAATGAGGAGGAGTTTGAAGAAATCAGTCCCTCAGCCTGAAGTCGATGGTTCAGTCAATCAAAATTGGACTGAACACATCGACTGCAAGCTGTAGGACTAATTATCTCAAGTTTTTCATCTCCCTATTTCTGCACTGGACTGAGGAAGACATTTAGCTGGCGAAACATTTCCAGAATAGATACCCAAATATTGAACAAGTGTTTCATTTATCATGATGCTTGATGAGTGCTGGTCGCATTACAATAATATACATCATATTTACTGGATAGTTTGATGGTGCACCCACAAGGGCAGATACCCCATACCCAGCCTGTGGACGGTAGCCCAACATTCTGCTAATCAAGTAAGGTTACAGTATTAATAAATTACAACATTTCCAACTTGAGAGAGCATAATTAGTAGTCCTACAGAATGTTGTGTTGTATTTCATAAACATACTGTGACAGCATATGCAGTACTGAGTGATGTGTTACATAAACATGTTGCGAAACATATGCATTGCTGTGTGTTGTGTTGTTTTGCAGGGAGTAGTGTTGCTGCTGTGTTTGGGAGCGTGTTCTTCACGCTTCAGGATGGTCCTCGCAGGCAAAGCCAAACGCAGGGTAAACACCTTTTTTTTTTTAGCACCTGTCTAACAGGGTGTTAACAGCCCTGTCTAAGGCGTACTGCTCTTTCCCTCAGGGATACTACACGTAACAGTCTGCTAACACCCAAGTACACTGTACTTATTTACTGGTAGGTGAACAGGGTCAAGAAGATATCAGAAGCATACCCACGTCTCCAGCTGCCCCAAAATCAAACCCGGAGTCCTTTCGCATCATCCGAGGGACTCCTTCAGATTGCATCCTAATCTGATGTAATCTGAAGAAGATACCACCGACCTCAGAGCTAACTCAATCATAATCCTCTTCTCTTATCAACATGGAAATTTTAAATATGAAAAACAAGTTTTCTTACTTCTTTGTATAAGTTCTAATATTTTACTCATTATTTGATGAAATGTGAGGTCGTCATTAATCATCCTTAGCTGATCCCTCGTGTCCATCTTACACTGTGCAAAAAGGGCCCTAATATCTGGAACTCTCTGCCTGAAACAGCAAGAGGTAACCTGCCCACAAATCAGTTTAGGACCATACTCAAAAATCATATCATCTCTCAGTAACAAACATACCCACACCATGCAAAACCCTAACCAAAATTCAAAGCAACTCCTCCAAATATTTTATCATCCCTTAGCTGTTAATCCATTATTACAGACTTATAAATGTATGTATCACTAATTGTACTACCTCATATTAATAATAGAGTGAAATATTGACTATTTGTATTCTACCACTCTTCAGTTGTCTAGACTTTAGCCTCGGCATGATAGTGACTTTCTTTGCTTCAATCATATTATGATATAAAACATACATTGTAACCTTAGAAAAGAAATAAATATTTTTTTATTTATAGGCTATTGAGTGGGTTCTTGATTCTAAGAATTGGAACTGCCCTCCCCTTCCTTGAATTATATTTGATTACACACACACACACACACAAAACACAAATAAAATATATATAATATATATATATATATATATATATATATTATATATAATATATAGTTTTATATACAGTGGTCCCCCGCTTTTCGTAGTTCCCAGCAATCGTAAAATTCGCCAATCATAGAGGTATTTTTGTATAAACATGGACTCGCTTTTCATAGGTTGACTCGCGAGTCGTAGTTCGTCCAGAACGAGCCAGGGCGGCAGCCAGTCTGGCATTGTTTACCAGTGAGTGAAGGTCCCCTCACGTGCTCCAGCGAAAATTTCATAATATTCCATTTATTTTAGTGCTTGCAAGTACTAAATAAGCTACCATGGCTCCAAAGAAAGCTCCTAGTGCCAAGCCTGTGGTAAAGAAGGTGAGAAATACGATTGAATTTAAGAAAACCATCATTGAACAATATGAAAGTGGTACAAGTGTGGCCGAACTGTCCAGGATGTATAAGAAACCCTACACAACCTTTTGTTCCATAGTGGCCAAGAAAAATGAAAAAAGGATGCTGTTGTTGCAAAGGGGGTAACTATGCTGACAAAAATGAGATCACCAGTACTGGAAGAGGTTGAGAAGTTATTATTGGTGGGGGATAAATAAGAAACAATTAGCAGGAATCTCTTATGACTTCGTTTATTTGTGAAAAGGGTAGGGAGTTGCATGAAGATTTGGTAAAGAAATTGCCTGCAAATTTGTTTGGTGAAGTGAGTGAATTTAAGGTCAGCAAAGGCTGGTTTGAAGATTTAAGAACCGTACTGACATACACAGTGTGGTAAGGCATGGTGAGGCTGCCAGTTCGGACCACAAGGCGGCTGGAAAAATATGTGCATGAATTCCAGGGGTACATAGAGGCTGAAGGACTGAAACCTGAACAAGTGTTCAATTGTGATGAAACAGGCTTCTTTTGGAAGAAAATGCCCAAAAAGGACCTTCATTACACAAGGGGGAAAAGGCAATGCCAGGGCACAAGCCTATGAAAGACAGGCTGACGCTAATTTCTGTGCTAAGCTAGTGGGGATTTCAAAGTGAAGCCATTATAGTGTACCATTCTGAAAATCCCAGAGTGTTCAGGAAAAACAATGTTATGAAGAGTAAATTGTGTGTGTTTTGGAAATCTAATAGTAAGGCATAGGTCATGAGGGAAATTTTGTCGAGTGGTTCAATGAAGTGTTTTGGGGCCCTAGTTTTGAAGGAGTATCTCCTGGAAAAGAAATTGGTTCTGAAGTGCCTGCTAGTAATGGACAATGCACCTGCTCACCCCCAAACTTGGATGACCTAAAATTTTCGAGGAGTTTGGGTTCATCACAGTAAAGTTCTTTGCCACCGGGAAAACCACTCCTCTCCTCCAAAACCCATGACCAGCAGGTTATTGGGAAACTTTAAAAAACTCTACACAAAAGCAATGTTTCACATGTGCTTGACTGTGACCACAGACACTTTACTTGACCCTAAGGAATTTTGGAGAGAAAACTTCAGCATCCTCCACTGCATAACCCTTTTTTAGATAAGGCTTGGGAGTGACTACCAGGACTTTGAACTCTGCCTGGAGAAAATTGTGGCCAGATTGTGTCGACAAGAGGGATTTTGAAGAATTTGGGACTGACTCTAATGAGCCTATGTCTGTTGTAAAATCAATTGTGGCACTGGGGAGTTCCCTGGGGTTGGATGTGAGTTTGGAGGATGTGGAAGAATTGGTGGAAGACCACAATGAAGACCTCACCTCTGAGGAGCTGCAAGAGCTTCAGCAGAAAGAGCAACACATCACAGCTCAGAATCTTGCTGCAGAGGAGGAGAAAGAGATGGAAGAAGGGGCCTTCTTCAGAAATTAAAGAGATTTTTACTATGTGGGGTAAGATGGAAAGCTTTATGGAGAAACATCACCCTAACAAGGTTGTTGCAAGCCAGGTTGGCAACATGTACAGTGACAAAGTCTTGGGCCATTTTAGGGAAGTTTTTTAAAGAGACGCCGAAACAGAGCTCTCCCCCACACTTATTTTGTGAGACAGGACTCCAGTGACTCTCAAAGGGGGTCCTAGTGGCATTAAGAAAAAAGAAAAGAGAAGCAACCCCAGAAAAGCAAATGGTACCTAGAGGTGTTGATGGAAGGGGGTTCCCTTCCAAACTATAAACAATCCCTCTCTCTCCTCCTCCAGTCCCCCCATACACTAAGAAGAATCTCCAATAAAGGGAAGTGTTATGCTGTTAATGTTTCATTCATCATTTCCCATTGTATTGTTTATGTACTACATGCATATTTTATGTTAAAAAATTTTTTTTTTTTAATACTTCTGGGTGTCAGGAACGGATTAATTGTATTTACATTATTTCTTATGGGGAAAATTGATTCGTAAATCGTAAATTTCGTTTCTAGTAATGGCTCCGGGAACGGTTTAAAATTACGAACAACGAGGGACCACTGTATGTATATATATATATTTTATATTATATATATATATATATATATATATATATATAATATATATATATAATATATATATATATATAAAATATATATTTATATAATATATATATATATATATATATATAATATATATATATATATATATATAAATATAAATAATATATATATATATATATATATATATAATAAAAATATTATATATATATATATGTATATATATATTTTATATTTTAAAAATATAGGGAGGTACCACCTCTAGAACTGTCCTGGGGACCCTCATCCTCAGAGAAAAAAAAATAAACTTGCTTCAGGGAAACTCAAGGTTCTTCCTGAAGCTGTTTGAGAATTTCTCCTACCACCCCCTATATTTCAAGTAAAGTTTTATTTAAAGACAAAATACATTGGCCAAACATTCACAAAAATACAAAAGAAAGTAAAGCAACGTGGGGAACTCAGAGCACATTCTCGAATACTTCATCCAGCTCCCCTGCGATGGGCCCCCGGTGCCCAGAATGCTGCAGGCATTTCCTCTTGGATCGCAACACTGAGTCTCTGAAAGAGGAAGCTTTGGGCCCCCCTGTGGTCCTTGGTTTCTATGATGACTTTTCACCCAGCTCTTTGAGGAACTTTAGAGCACACTTGCCCCATATCCAAGGGGCTTTCCCCCCCTATTGGAATGAAGTTATAAACAAGGGGAAGGGCTTCATATTTTCGGATCTTCTGGTCTCCCTGTGGCTGGCAGCTCCACCCCCCCTTTCCCCTACAGAGTATGGCAAGTAGGTGTCTGCCAATGTGGCAGCACAGGGGTAGTCCCATGCAATCTGCTTTCCCCTCCTTCCAGGGTACATAGTGGCTCCATCAGGACGCTTTTGACTTCCATCAGGGCCTCTGTACTTGGGGTCCCGTTGAACTGGGCAATGGGCTGTGGCGAGGCTTCTCTTTATTATGTCATTGAAACTCCTCATGTCTGGCAACTTCCCTTCTGCTTGTGGCACACGAGACCATGAAGTCCGAATTGATCAGCTGTCGCCCTGCCACAAATACACCTATGTTCGGTGAGGATGGGGGCGGCTAGGCGAAGAGCAAAACACCAATCCGAATGGCCTGTGGGGTCGAGACGGGTGCCCAGGGTGGAATTGGGAACAGCTAACAGAAATCTGCCTGAGTGTTGATGCCTTCACCTCTCATGAAGACGAGCTTTGTTCCTTTCCTTAAGCATTGGAGAGCTTGTGTTGCGATTTTTTTTCTATGATCGTTTTGTCCCCATGGGACTGTTTGTGCTGTTTGTAGTGAGCAGGTCTACTGGAGGAGTCTGTAAAGGGTGTCCCATCCGAATCGCTGCTTCAGTAACCTGGGTCTTTTGAGCTCCTACCAGTCTCTCGAAGCGTTAGGGAACTATCTTCTTGACTAATGTTCTGGAAGCCAAACACGAAGACAGAAAAGCAGGTAAAGCAACATGCGTTGCTTTAACGCTAACACCCCTATACCTTCCCAGCGCACTGGGAAGGTTGCCTGATCCCCATTGCTCTCCTCTAGTGACAGGTTCAGCAGTGCCTTCTAAAAAGTTGATCCTCAGGTGTGCGTCCATATCATCGAGTGTTGGGTTGTCAAAAGGAAGAAGGGTGCACACCTCAAGAAGTAAGTGAGTCTTGGCTTAGTAAAACACCTGTAGGAGATACAGAGCATCATGGGCATCAAGATTCACTTATTCTCTCCCTCCATTCTCATCAGGTCATTCAATTTGTCCCTGAGACAGTATCGTGGCCTGGTGACCCACGGTGCCGCCCAAGAGGGGTACTGATTGGAGAAACGAGTTGTAGTTGAGACTTCCGTGAGGATTCATCACAACAGCATTGAATAATTCCTGGTCGCTGTGATGATTTCACACTGGAGGGATTGAGGATGAGTCCCAAGTCATCTCCCTGTGTTTTCACACAGTTGTAGGTCCCCCACAAGGGACTCCCTTTTCAGTCCAGTACCTGCCAGAGTGGCCGTCATCCAGGTACAAGATATTGAGTGCACTGCAATAGCTGGAAGTAGTTCTCTACTGCCAAGCAGAAAAAGTGGAGCGAGTGGGTCACCCCAGCAGAACACAACCCTCTGATGATTGAATTTCAATGTTCTCCAAACAAAAGAATTGAGGGTTTGCTGTTAGCCGGCCTGAAATGAAGGGAAAGAGACTGGGAACGAACCGA